ACCCGCGCCGAGTAAGCGCGGGGGGGGGGGCCAACGGATAAATTTTCACACCGGGGCCCCATGGGTCATGTGTACGCCACTGGTTCCACTATATGTTTCCTTAGTGTATGGCTTAGGCCAGGGGCGTATTAGCCGCGAGGCAAACAAGGCATTTGCCTTGGGCGGCATTTTTCAGGGGGCGGCAAAAAACGCCGCCCCCCAAATGCCCAAGGCAAATGTCTTGTTAGCCTTGCGGCTAACAGACATTCTGGGCGCTGGGCGGCAGTGGCTGCAGCGCTGGGCGGGCGGCCGGCGAGGGAGCTCTTCCCCTGAGCACTCTGCTCAGCTCCCTCGCGCGCCAGCAGAGTGAGGCTGGGAGCCGGGTTGATGACGTCATATTCCGGCTCCCAGCCTCACTCTGCTGGCGGCGCGCGAGGGAGCTGAGCAGAGCGCTCAGGGGAAGAGCTCCCTCGCGGCCGCCCGCCCAGCGCTGCAGCCACTGGACCCCAGGGAGAGGAAGAACCCCCCCAGCATTACCAAAGGTAAGGAGGCTGGGGGGGGGGTTAAATAAAAAAAACACTAGTGAGTGTGTGTATGTCTGCTAGTGTGTGTGTGGATGTCTGTTAGTGTGTATGTTAGTGTGTGTGTGTTAGTGTGTGTATGTTAGTGTGTGTGTGTGGATGTCTGTTAGTGTGTGTATGTTAGTGTGTCTGTTAGTGTGTGTCTGTTAGTGTGTGTGTGTTAGTGTGTGTATGTTAGTGTGTGTGTGTGTGTATGTTAGTGTGTGTATGTCTGTTAGTGTGTGTCTGTTAGTGTTAGTGTGTGTCTGTTAGTGTGTGTCTGTTAGTGTTAGTGTGTGTGTCTGTTAGTGTTAGTGTGTATGTTAATGTTAGTGTATGTATGTTAGTGTTAGTGTGTGTTTGCCTGTGAGTGTGTGTGTCTGTTAGTGAGTGTGTGAGTGTGTGTCTGTTAGTGAGTATGTGTTTCTGTTAGCTAGTGAATGCGTATCTGTCAGTGAATGTGTGTGTGTGTATTTAGAAGGCGGAGCAGGGGGGAAGGTTGGGTGGCGGTTGCGCGGGTGGGGGTGGCGCGGGGGGTGCCTGAGTTTTTTCCTGCCTAGGGCAGCACAAAACCAGGATACACCACTGGCTTAGGCAGGATTTGTTTCTGTACAGGGCACCTAGTTTTGGATAAAGTTTTTCAATGTGAAGGACAAAGGACAGATTGGAGTCTAGCAACATACCTAGATATTTTAAAGAACAGACTGCAATCAGTGTTCTATTTGAATTTGTTCTGGTACATAGTTGGGAATTTTGTAATTTATTTAATTTAGGTAAAGTTCCAAAGATCATTGTGACAATTTTGTCAGTGTTTAGGAAGAATTTGTTATCCGGGATCCACTTTTCTACCTCTGTGAACTGGTCTTGGAACACAGCCTCAAGCTTTAGTAGACTTAGTTTGCTAGCGTAGATTACAGTGTAGTCTGTGTACATGTGTACAGTTGAGGATTTGCAGACATTAGGCAGATCATTTATAAATAATGTGAATAGTAGGGAGCCAAGTATAGAGCCCTGGGGAACACCACACATGGCCGGGAGATGGAGGTGCTATCAGAAATGAACACATATTGTGATTAATCTGATACATATGATTCAAACCACGTTAGGAGACGATCACCAATACCTGAGTTTTTTTTACGTTTTGGCAATAGAATGCCATGGTCAAAGGCCTTGGCAGTATCAAGTTAAATAGCTTTAGTTAAGTCTCCTTGTTCCATGCCAGTTTCAATGTCATTGCAGACTTTTAAGAGGGCAGTTGTAGTTGAGTGATTTGGGCGAAAGCCTCAGAGGTCAACTAGTTTGATTGATGATAATACTCACATAGTGTGAACGCAGTTTTCCATGATTTTTTACAAAATGGGGAGCAATGATATCGGACAATAGTTAGTTAGATACTGTTATCCTTGTCTGCAGGTAGAACGGTCCTCTAGGGTAAACAACAGGCACAGTCCTTTTATTTGCATTTAATCCAGGCACTTTATTTATAAGTCCACACAGGAGACAGCAGCGAATGGAAACATAAATATAACACAAATCCCTATAAACAAAAACCTAGCTCGTCTGAGCACTTACTAACTTCAGGTTACCTATCTCTTAGGGGTTAAACTAGAACAAAACAATATTGGTTTCACCAACCTAGTGTCTTTGTCAGCTCTCTGCACTCCAGTGCTAAGTCAGCCTGTTGCTTTCCTTTCTACACTCCCAGTGCTCCAAGCCAGCCTTAACTACTTTCCTTTCTAAACTCCCAGTGCTCCAAGCCAGCCTTAACTGCTTTCCTTTCTGCACTCCCAGTGCTCCAAGCCAGCCTTAACTGCTTTCCTTCTGCACACCCAGTGCTCAGTCTCCTTGACTCTCCCACTGGAGAGAACAGCCTCTCTCCTACCTGCTTCCAGGGAGGAAGCCAGCAATCCCCCTTTACCTGCCTAGCAGGGAGGGGTTTATTCCCACTGCTACAGCTGATTATCTTCAGCTGAGCAGTGGGTTGGAGACAGCTCCAAAAAACCCTGGCCTGGACCTTATTTCTCCCAGTTGTGTATAAACTGAGGAGTGGAGCATTGGCCCACCCTACTCTCCAAATGCTCCACCCCAGGGGCCCATAACTAAACTTTGGTATGTGTTGCCTACAACACATACTCCCCCTGAGGTTAAATGTTATAGGCCTATCTGCCTTCACTTTATCCCAATATCAAAGTATTGTCACCACTTTGATGGATAGGTACTACTCTTGCAATTTTCCAAAGTTTGTGTATGTATCCAGACATCAGTTATTCATTCATTAGGGTAGCGAAAGGTCTAGCAATTGCCGGTGCACTGAGCTTAAGCAACATTGCTGGGATTTGATCTAATCCACATGTTTTTTTTATTTTTAGATTATTAAGATTTTTTTTTAGTTACCCTTACAGGTACAGGTCTAAAATTGAAGTTCTCTACATAAGGTGCTTGCAAATTTAGCAGGCCCTGATCTGCATTTGTAGTCCGAGAAAGAGTGTCATCCGTTATCTTAACAATAAGGGTGGTGGCACACCTGACCAAATAATTATTAAAGGTGGTGTTGCAGGGTTTGGTTGTCCATTTTGACAGTGGAGGGTTGAGAGTGGATTTTGGGGGTTTGTATGTTACTTATGATTTTCCAAAAGCTTCTTGGGTTTCATATGTTATTGTTCATTTCTGTTTGCTTTCTGCATGCAACTCGCCATTGTCTGTAGACACAGTGATTGTTCATAGAGCCAGTATGCTAGAACTTTGACCACAATGAATCTCTAAACTGGTACATTTGAATGAAGCTGTATCCCAAGGCAGGTGTGTCCCTTTTATTCACACTTTACGCAGCAAGGCATGCATATCATTTTCCGAACTCGCAAGAGCTAGGACTGAAAAAGTTAAATTGCATAGTCTAGGTCTGGGATTAGACATAATCTGTGCCATGGCAGATTCTTGAGAGTGTTTTGAAAGGATTCAAGATTACATTTCTTAAAAGACCTGGTGATTATAACCTTGGGAGTGGTTAGTGGTTGTCATTTTGCATATGCAGTATACTAGACAGTGGTCACTGAAACTGTTAGGGAGAACACCAGCCTTCTGGATTCTATCAGGACAAGTGGTGAGCATTCAAAGCAAAGTATGGTTAGGGTTTTTCATATTAATGAGAGTGGGGGAGGAAATTTATTGTGTTCACTACAAAAGTCTTAAACAGTGAACATGATTTAATATTTTTATGATTCTGCCAATCAACATTAAAATCTCCAAAAACACTAACCAGTTCACTTTTGGGGTGTGAGCTATGGTTCCACTAAGGAGTTGGGTTACATCGGAAAGGGGATGCACTTGTCAGGATCCTATCCTGTGGCTGGATAACCTTTAACTAAAGCTGAGGGACAGAGATATTATGGTCAGATAGGCCTGCAATAAAGCTAAGGAGAGGTGGAGATGCATCTATGCACATATAAGGTGAGGGTTATTTAAACAAAATAAGCATATGGGTAGGCATCAAAAGAAGGTAGGGGTGAAAGATCAGAAAACACATAGAGAAGACAGAGGTGTGCATGTAGGAAAACAAGACCACTAAACAAACAACAAGCAAGATACAATTGTGCTCAAAAGTTTTTATACCCTGGCAGAAATTATGACATTTTTACATTGATTTTAAAAATATGGCTGACAAAGCAAAAATAATGGACAGTGATCATATTAAGCCATTTATTATCATACAGTTGTTTTGCTCCTTTTAAAATCATAATGACAACAGAAATCACCCAAATGGCTGTGATCAAATGTTTACATACTCTTGAATGTTTGGCCTTGTTAAAGACACACAAGGTGACACACAAGTTAAAATGGCAGTTAAAGGTTAATTTCTCACACCTGTGGCTTTTTAAATTGCAATTAGTGTCTGTGTATAAATAGTCAATGGGTTTGTTAGCTCTCACATGAATGCACTGAGCAGACTAGATACTGAGCCATGGGTAGCATTAAAATCTGTCCAAAGATTTGAAAATGCCAGTCAGCACTATTCAATCACTTATTAAGAAATGGAAAATTTGGGGATCTCTTAATACCAAGCCAAGGTCAGGTAGAACAGATTTCAGCCACAACTGCCAGTAGAATTGTTCGGGATACAAAGCAGTGCTGCTTCAATCAAGTTTTCGCCCAAATCACTCCACTACAACTGCCCTGTTAAAAGTTTGTAATGACATCCAAACTGTCATGGAACAAGGAGACCTAACTGGAGCTATTTTACTTGATTTTGCAAAGGCCTTTGATCATATGAGGAGGAGTTCCTCTGGAGACTACAGTGCAACTTGGCCTCAGGGGATGGTACTGTATCAGACGAGGGCATGCTGGGGAAGGAACCACCCGGGAAGGAACTCTGGAACGAGGCCCTCGAGGAGGTTCAGCTTCGGCGGGGAGAGAGCCTTCCAAGCGAAGAGCAGCGGCTCCAGGTACAAGTGGCTCTGTGGATGCCTCTCCTGGGAGAACAGCCCCTGGAGGAGTGGGTGACTGGGCTTGAGGACCTGGTCTGGAAGGAGCTGTGGCTGGACGAGGCTTACCGGGCACTAGAGTGGTACGCAGCCCGGCGCAACCAGTGGATGGCTGAAGATAGCATGCCAGAGGGTGAGGACTATAACAGCCCAGGCTCATTGTGGGAGGCCTTTGAGAAAGACATTAATTTTGGCAGCTCGGCAGAGTTTTGGCTCTGGGAAATCCACAGTACTAGGGAAGCCCTGATGGATCTTACTAGAGCTGATGACTTATGGCCAGATCTGTTCCAGCTGGCCACCATGGAATGGGAGCTGGAACAGGATTGCCAACGCCTGATCAGTGCGGTTCAACCACAGTATATCCTGCAGGGAGAGAAGACAACCGGTTCCTCTCCCCAACAGCAACAAGCAACACCTGGAGCATTCAGAAGAATTGGCTGTGGTACCACCTGCTTCAAAACCAGCTCCAAAAAAGGGAGACCGGTCCTGGGAACATATCCGGTTGGCCGGTAGAGGTGAAACTGAGGTCTCTACACCAATCCTATAGGGATACAGAGCAGCTTTTCCAGATCCCCAGCAGCAGGGTAAGCTCTAGGGAGAGGAGACAACCTGTCCCTGTATCCTGAACTTGGGTCCAGGGTGGGCGGAGAAGGCGAGACCCCAGCCAAGCTGCGCGTCTAAGAGGCTACAGTGCTCATGGTGTCCGGTGGAGTGCTTATAGTATCTTGGGGATAACAAGGAAGCGTGATTGGCAGAGGTACCCAATCAGGGCACCAGGCGGTCCGCCACACTAAATAACACTTAGCAGCTTTTATTCCTTTCCTTTCAGTACGAGACAGGTACAGGGTTATTAACTAAATTGAGAATTCCTGAGCATTCAAAATTAATTTCAAATTGAAGGTCAAAGTAGCTAAATGGAAAGTATAGGTGACTGGGAGAATTTTCCTCTTCAGCTATTTTGACATTAAAGGGGCACTGCTCCCGTCACCCCTCCCCCCTGAAATGTGTATTTCATAAACATAGAATTCCACGGTCTCGCAGGGTCCTCCATAGACCTCAATTCTGTACATTCGCCTGTACTCTCAAACACACCTTCACCTGCACCCACCCCGGCGATGTCACCATTGGGGGTCTTGGCAATGGTGCAAAGTCCCCAGGCAGTGATAGTGCTGCTTTAAATTTGAAATTACCTGCTCACATTAGTGAATAACCCTGCTCACATTAGTGAACATTCAGCAGCCGCAACGTAGCTGTATGTATACAAATGTTACATTTCAGAGCATGGAAGCTGCTATTGGTTGCAAATGATTTCCAAAGCCATTTTAGAATCATTAAACTCGACCATTGAAGAATAGAAAATGGACCCAATGTATGCGGATATTGTCTCACAGCACTGCGCTATCTTGGATGATACAAAACAAATAATTTTTTTCCAAGACAACTTTGACTATGTAATTTTATTTATTTTTTTGAATCCTCCTTATTTGAACTGGAAAACTCAATCTATCAACACTGTATATTCAGGGAAACTAGAATGCATTTACAGGGTAGTTTCAAGTATTCTTTATAATCTATTCAAACCTCTGATCTATATTATTAAAGAAAACACAATTCACAGTAAATTTCTTCTTAATAATTTTATTATTTGGCAGACAGTTGCTGTAACAAACTTAATAAAAATAGTTAAAATATTGTGTGGTTATTTAATCAGATGTTTTGATATGACATTGGTGAGGAAATTCAATTAATTACTCTTTAATGAGCTAAATTAAAACTTGTTTTTGTCTTGTTCCAAATCTGCCTCCTCGCTGAAAAACTGAATTTGTTTCACCTCCCGTAACACGTTTTAAACTCAACCGCTGCTCTATATTAACAGGTCATGTTACCTACTTTATACTGACTGAGGGTATTGCCATCTGTACCCAACAGTTAGGGGGCAGTAGAGTTAAGGTACACTCATAAATATCACAACCATTGCAGTTTATTATAGTAGTTATAGTGAAAGGAGTCTTTGTATCTAGTCTCTCCAGTTTTTGTAACATTGTTTAGACAAGTTTGACACAAACCAGGGCTCTCCTGATTCCCAGGGCTCTCCTGATACCCAGGGCTCTCCTGTCACTCAGAACCTATCCACTTCCACCAAAGTAATGGCAATAGATGACTGTAACCACTGGGGGCAGCGTAGCCCAACACTCACAGCCCACAGGGGTAAGCTTCTGGTTTTAGAGCTCAAATGGTTTGTCAAAAATGGAATGTACTGCACCTTCTCCATGCACCAGAACCACTAAAAAATATGTACTGATATGGTGTTTAGATTCCCTTTAAGTCAGGCTTACAGACAAGGCACTTCTAAAATACTGATAATGTGTATGAGTTAATTTAGAGAGTGTCATGGAAAATCAGTGCCTTAGTGGTGCAGGATTATCTTACATGGTTATCAACTAACATACAAAGTTCCTGAAATTCAAAGAGAATATCAAATTTAAGGCCACAGAATTGATACCTGAATTCCCAGCAAGTCTCACTTTAGTGAATAACCTTTTAAATATTGGCAAAACTAAAAGAGGCGGTGGATGGACTATTTGTTACACAAAAAACAAGTTCCATCCTCTATAGACACTATGAAAAGGGATATATATTGTGTGTGTAGTATTAAACCTATCCCTGCTCTGGTTCAAATTAAAAGACACACTTTAAAAAACTCAATATTCACAATATTTGTGTTAAATAACAAAAATAAAATAAAATTTAAAAAATCTTGCTCATAAAAGCAATTTGCAAATGCACAGTTCAAGTAATGTTGATTGAAATGATAAGTTTCAGTGTCAGAGGTGGCTTGACTTAGAATGTTCATCCACATTTAGACAGATTTGTATACATAATTCAGGCTGTAGAGGGACATGCTTTGGATATCAGGTAAGCTCTGTTTTGTGTCAAACTATAGTAAGCTATAGGTGTTTAGCAGTGGTTCCAAAACCAGTCCTCATGGCCCACCAACAGTTCAGGATTTATGTATTTCCCTATTTTATTCCAATGGAGATACTGACAAAACCTGGATTGTTGGTGGGTTTTGAGGACTGGTTTAGGAAACACTAGTTTAGAGTTCTCCTTCAAAATAAAAACTCAACTTGGTTAAAAGAGAATATATATCTCAAGCAACTGAATCCTTCATCAAACCCAAAAGGACAAGCTAATTGGCTGAACGGCTAACACCATTGTTCCATTAATTTCATATGCAATACTATTTGTATGAACCCACATCTTGCAGCACATTGTTGGCATGGTTTTCCAATGGAAAGCTGTCACATCATAAGGAATCTGGTGAAACTGGCACTTTAAGAACCATAATAACCACTAGAGTTCCTTGAAGTGGCTATGGTGCAAGGAAACTTTGGGTGTTGCCCTTCTCCATTGTGTCAATCCTTGACAACAACTGAGGCTAAAACCCAATTCAAGTAGAGGTCAACATTAGTCAAACCACAGCCAAGGGAAGGGGCTGTAGTAACTACAGTTACTATAATGTTACTACAATGAGATACAGTGATTATGGTGCTTAGTGTGCTTCTCTGTATGGGGCTCATAAATTGGAAACGGTAATCTTTACATAAAATCTTGTGCTCTGATTAAAAAATAAAAGAATCCCTAAATTAATCATATATATTTTTCACTTAAACAGTGATAAAATTATATCTGCTTCTAATGCATCTCATTATTATATCTTGGTATATGTATATATAATTATTTAACAAAATGCACAAAATATATAAAATCAAAAGCTGCCACAAGAAATCTGATTAAAACGGTAAAGCAGATATTTTAATAATTTGTTTGTTTAGCTTCATACAAAGTATTTTAATGATTTGACAGTGGATACTATATCAGTCACTTGAAGGCACAGAATATCTTTCCTTATCTATCCTGTATGTAATAACTAATTTATGTGCTTCTTTAATATTGTGCATTTAATCGTTAATATAAAAAATATATATATAAGGCACGATATTTCTTAACAGACACTAAATGTATCTTTTTTTTTCAATTTCAGAAAAGAAAAACCACTTTAAGGTATATTTATGAAATAGTGAGCTGTGAGGGACCAATGACGGAGTTGCAACATTTAGGGCAAAATAATTAGTGATACTCTAAAAAAAAAATCCCAAATTCATTAAATTGTAGAGACCTCATTTGTCAACTCACACTTAAAGAACAGAATGCTGTATCTTTGCGAATTGGTTGAAATTGTTCTCGGTGATGTGGCTAACAAGTATTTTGATTAGTAATGCTAGTGATGTAATAGCACCGGTATTTAATGTTCTTTAACCCTTCCATTCCCACATTATTGAAACAGTGATTTCTGGAGCAATATGCAATATGTGCTTTGTTTATGTATGTAGTATATCAAACCATTACGCATCTACATATATATATATATATATATGTGTTTCTGTGTATATATACACACTCAAATGTATACTATACATATTTGAGTGAATATACATATATGTGGCAAAGGCATACATACATCGTTTGTGGATATATATATATATATATATATGCACACATATTCAGTTGAAGATATTGAGAACTTCCCAGACTCTTTTGGTAGTTTTCATGATCTCAGTAGCGAGTTAGTCCATGGACCCGCATGATTGCTGGCAGAAGTCCACAATGCCTCTTTGCTTATGCTAGAAGGCCAAGACGGGACACTTTGGCTGATAAGAACGAGTGAATGATGAAGACAATGGTTTTGGGACAGGAGTGAAGATCCAGTTTCTGGTGGGAAAGTGAGAGACATGTTAGTGAGAAACATTATCTATGTATTTATCATAGTTATGTAGAGAGATTTGGATGGAATTATTGCCTTTTTTACGTACAAGTTCGCCTTCGGGATTTCCAAAATCCAGATATAACATCCTTGCTCCATCATCTGAAGACATTCGGAGCTTCTCAAAAGACTTATGGAGGTGGATAATCCTATTTAGACCAGGCTCCTCCGTGAAGAGGGTGAATCCATGATCAATGTGAATGGACAGAGCACACTCCTTCCCACCCCACGTACATGCTAAAAGAATTAGAAGGTAGTGTGGGTCATATATAAATGTCATATAAATTAAAATACAAATGCAGATCACTAGCATACAATGTTTATGACTCCAGTGAAGCTAGTCTAGAAATTCACAACTAGTGTGTATTTCTTTCAAGGGACACTCTAACAAACATAACAACTTTAGCTTAATAAAGTGGTTGTAATGTACATATGATGCCCATTCTGTCTCACTGCTAAATTCGTTGCCAATTAGTTAAATCACTTTGTTTATGTAGCCCTAACCACACCTTCATGGGCAGATCTATTCATTTATCGTCTCTCGGCCTTTGTCTATTTCCAAACCTGGACACATGCCTCATTCTCTCTCACTTTCTGATACATCTCTAGAGTCAGACCTACTTCTCTCTAGACCCATATATAAATGATTGTCTTGCATTATGTCTATATCAATCCCTAAAGCAATGTCTACTTACTTCTCTATCTCTGAGTCCATCTCTTGATGCCTTTTTAGATCAATATCTATAACTTGATCCATGTTTAGAACTCTTTTTACATCCAACTAGACCCATGACCAGGCTAAACGTATGCCTTTGTCTACATCTATATTTAGATCATGTCAAGACCTTTATCTAAAAGACTTATGTATAAATTCTCTTTGAATCCCTACTTAGAAACTTCTAGTGACCCATGTCTAGAACCCTTTGTAAACACTTTTCTATACCCAGGTCTAAATACATCCTTTCACCCATTTCACCCATTCATCCCTCTAGATATATATATGCAATTTTAGATCTCTAGACCAATGGTTCCCTATCCAATCCTCAATGAGCACCAAATATCCTAAATGGAAAAGAACTGTGATATGCTAAAATACTATAAATACTAAATACTAAACTGTCCATGAGTCTTAAGGTGTGGGTTTCAAATCATTGCTCCAGACCCATGTCTAGATTAATGCCTATCTCTGGATGCATGGCTAAATCAATTTCTCTAGATCATCTCCTTTCGAGATTTAATCTCTAGTCCCATGACAAGATTCTCCTTTATCTTCCCCATATCCCCTCTATATCTGTACATAAACAAATTCCCAGATGAATATCTAAACTTTTGTTTAGATTAACCGCACTAGTTCTCTATATATAGCCCTCTCTCTAGACCACTATGTACAGTTAGGCTCATCTATAGGTCTATCTAGATCACATATGTATAGAGTACTCTCTAGATCCATATATAAACTCAAGTCTAGAGTTTTCTTCATACTCAAATAAACCCTTGGATAATTCTCTAGACCGCTGTATAAATTCCTTTTCTAAAGCCTAGATCAGTGGTTCGAACCTGCTCCTGCATATAACTGGAAATGACTATTACCAGAAATCTAACAGAAATTGTTGACCCATGTCTAGCTCTATCTCCAGCTCCAAATTCATGTATGGACCACTGCATACAACCTTTGCTATCACTAGATTCACTCCCAAGTCCTTTTCTAGTCTCAAGACCATGTTCCTTTGAAATTAGTCAAGATTATGCTTTAGGCCAATGTCTTGATGCTTTTCTAGACCATATCTAGGAGAACATTAAGGATTGCTTTGTTTAGTTTTGCAGAGATCTAATTTTCCAGCAGTGTTTAATTCTTTTAAGTGATTTCTTTATCTCACCATACAATGTTGATTCTTTTCATAGATAAACTCTGCCTGCAATCAGAAAATTCTCATCTGTGGTGAGTATTCTATGATTTGGTCACCAGTCTCTATTTGGTTGGCTTACATTATAGAACCTCAAGAGACTCTACTTTTTCTAAGTGTTTCCTTTTATATTTTCTGCATATGCATTTTTTAGATTATTGTGTATGCTTAAATTAATATTTTTTTTGTTTTGTATCTTAACATTGTTGATCTATTTTATTCATAACTATATCTATCGCTAGAGCTAATTCTTGCTATATCAATTTATACAGCCATTTTTAGATGTCCCTCTATGTTTACACACATTTGCAGATCCATCTGTAAACCCATAGCATGGCTTCCGTGTCTAGATCAAATTCTGGATCTCCATATCACTTAGACCCATATCTAGAAAATCTTCAGATCCAATTTTATACTCAACCTCTAGTTTATTTTCTAGACATGCCTCCAGTTGCATTTGTAAATATTGAATGTTGATCCATTTCTTTCTCTTTAGATCACGCTCTATACTGATGCCTAGACAAATCTCTCTAGATCCATATTTATTGCTAGACTCATGTATATAGCCCTCACACTCTCTAGATCTACTCGTAGGCCTGTGTTTCAAACCACCTGTATTTCTAGTCTCATCTGTAGAATTATTTGCATATCTTAACCCATGTCTATACTGGTCTCTCTATATCCATAGCTAAATTACTCTCTTTACATCCATGCCTAGATCCATTTCTAGGTTTAAACCACTCATTAAATTAATTTCTAGAACCATAGTTTACTACATTTCTCTCTTTATCAATCATTCTATTCTCATGTCTAGGCGAATCTTTCTAGAACCAGGCCTCTATTACTATCAAGACCCATGTCTATTGCTAGAAGCAAGTCTAGATTTATGTTTTGATATATTTTCACAGTTTCTGTCAATGTTAAAGCAGTTAGCTGCCTATTACCTGTGGTCACTTCTTGTATGAGCTCAGCTGCACTGTGACAACCATCAACTAGTGTCCGCGTCCATTCTGCCAACTCGCGATGCGTTTCCACACTGAAAAGGTGAGTTTCTACTCCTTTCTGAGTGCCAGAACGTAGAGCAAATGCCAACTCTGTATCATACATTTGAGAGCTTTTTGAAGGACCAGAGTGTACAAGTCTAAAAAGGAAGTGGAAAACGGCAACATTGGCATGACAAGTTGGTCGTATGCATTCTGTAAAATATTATGTTCTAAACAAAAGATACAGCAAACATAAATTCAAATGTATTTTTACAAATATCTTTCCAGTAGTGCCATACTATTTTAAACACAGCACATTCATTTTATACAGTATGCTAATTAATGCAACATTTTATTTGCAATGCAAACATTCCTCTGTTATTAAGTATTTATTACATCATCACAATTCATTTAAAAAAAAAATTGCTAATATTTAAAGATGCACAATTTCATTCTTGTTATTTTCTTAATAAAACAAAACAAAAATTCTAACTATTATTTCCTTTGACATTAAGCATCATCAAACAGTTTATAGAAACAGCGACGTACTAAGAGGAGGGCGGTCCATGGAGGTGCTATTTAGGGGCAGACTGAGCAGTCGGGCTCTTCGCCCCGGCCAAGGAAGGGGGCCCTCGCTCTAGCCCCTGCTTCCAGTTGCAGGACTGGTCTCTCTTTCCTCACGTTTGAGTCAATGTGTGTATATTAGTCTGTGTGTGTATTTGTGTATGAGTGTGTATGTATATCACTCTGTGTTTGTCAGTGTATATATGTCCATGTGTGTATATCAATGATTTGCTCATTTGTGTATTTTTTTTTTTTTTTTACAGATTGTGGTGGTGGGGGTGTCAGAATATTTTTACGCCCCGGGTGCCATGTAACTTAGGTACGCCTATGCATAGTAATATGTCCACTTCTGTTCAGAGCAAAAGGCTGGGAGATAATCAGATTCATTTACAACCAATCCTAAAATACTAACACAAAAATCTGCAAATGGTTACAGTTATTAGATTCTACCACTAGATGGTAGTACAACCATTTGATAAACTTTGGGGTTAAATTGCATTATTCTTTCCTTTGTTTAATTACCATGTTTTGCTTTTTTTGTGCCTGGGTTTACGTTAAGTTGTGTTTTTAAAGATAAACAAATCATGACTATATCTGTATACACCTGGCCATTGAGCAGAAAAATAAAACATGTACTTTGTTCTACATTTTCTAAAACACTATTTTAGATTGTGTTTAGAGGGTATTTTTTTTTGTTTGTGCACACCTATGTCTTTACTATTCAAACTGAAAACTTTAAGCACCTGCCTCATACACATAAGCTTTAAAGCGATTGCAATCAACACAAACATCACCGTTGTTCAATAGGTTTCCGGCCCATGTTGTTTCTGTATCTTACAAAAGCATTGACCTCCTATTTTAAACACACTGTTTATTCTTAAACACAGGTGTTTCACCTTGCAGTGTACTGCTTTTTGACAACATGACGAGAAACAATAACACTGTTGAGGTAAGACAAGCCTCATCATGTTGAGACAGCTGTCTGTAGTAAGCCAATGTGTGGGCAATTCCTGTTTCTTTACCAGTTCACCTAAGTTCAACTCATCTGACCTTAGATCAGCATCTACTCTTCATCAGCACCCCCAAATCCCTGGCCCTTGACTTCCTGTCCTTCCTCGGATTTGTAAATGTTTAAATTTGCCTTGTGATAACAATATATCAAATGAGGACAGTATAATCACTAACCTATGAAGTTCCTTCTGAATAATAAAAGGTACATCAATATATTCTACACTGGTATCACGCATGAATAGGTCTCTGATTTTAATTATTAAAAGGCACAGTCCAGGCACCAACACAACTTAAATCAATTCTCTCACCAGACCATAAATATTGAGAATTTCATAAAGTGAAATTCTAGTATCATGTTTTGCCAATTTCCACCACTATTGCAATTTTACACACACATTGCATGATATCTATCCTTTTTTAAGACTGGATGACTGCAACCCATTTTACCTTACTTCACAGTCCTTGGCTCTTTTAATATGTTAAGAGACCAATAGCATTTAGCAGACAATTCTTTGCCAAGGGGCATAACCAAAAAAAACAATAATTATCAGGGATGAATAATCGTGCCCTTGGTATAAATATTCATAACGGTGACAGCATACCCTACAAGGGGAATCCAAACAGGACTATGGTAACCTGGGCCATTTTGAAGGAACTGTGAAGTCCGCTGTATTATAAGAGTGTAACAAGGAATTGAACATTTCTATGAAATTTATAAACTGCAACAAATTCACAGATGTAAGAATTATTTCTGTGGCCAGACAACAACTACAACAAGATATTAATACATTTTACCATATAGATTGGGGTTCGATTTAAACAAAGGAAGGGCATGGGAGGGCAACTTCTTACAGTCAAGCCTTTCCTTTTGCCTTATACTTCCTCTCACCTTATACCTCCTCCCAGGCCGGCTTGGAAATGTGATATGGGGAAATCTTTTTAAAATTTATGAATGCCAATGATCCATGTGTTATCTAGAAGCCAGATATAAGTTGGATGAGTGACAGTTTCTATCGGAGCTCCCACAGGCTGAAAACTCCAGTATTGTAACAGTGAGGTAAGTAATCAGAATATCTGTTAATTTCTCCTTTTTATTTTTTTTACTGCTGTTGGTGTAAATTGTTTGTCATATATCTTTCTAACGTATGTGCTGTGACAGTTTTGTTCCCAATAAATATTCCTTTATTAAGTTTTGCCTTTGTCTTGTAAAGATCCACGCTAGCAAGATCCAAGTTATTCAAGAGACCAATTTATTAGTACTTTCCGTTGCAGAGATATTTTGCTAACTTGTGTTTTGATGGTTGTTAATCTAATTTGCTTGGGGAATCTAAGACACACCATTACAGCTGGCCTTGCTGTGGCAGCTTTTCATAGTAGAACTAAGTATGGGTGGTGTTATGGGAGATTTTTATTATTATTTTGGTGTAGTGCAGGCAAATAGTGATTTTTAATCCTCTCCCACCATTTAAAAAAAATATATTAACAAAATAAATATAATAATAAAAATAAAAAGCTGCTCCCCACTCTTTCCCTGGCAAGACTCAAGCCCCCATCCTACCCCACAAACTCTCTCTTTCACACTACACACACATATACACAATGCATCCCTACACACACAGAAACAGACAATGCAACCCTACTCACACAAACACACAATGCATCCCTACACACAGAAACAGACAATACAACCCTACACACACACACACACACACACACAGAAACACTCAATGCATCCCTTACACACACACACAAACACAATGTATCCCTTGCACACATACACAGAAACACACAATGTATCCCATACACACACACACTGCATTCTTTACATATATAAACACACAATGCATCCCCTACACATACACAAACACACACACTCAATGCACCTCTTACGCACACTCAATGCTCCCCTTACATACAGAGAAACACATTTGCATCCCTTAAACATACAAACACAGAATAACACAATGCATAAAATACACACATAGAAACACACCTTTTTGTAAGCATCCCTTACAAACATACACACACACACACACACACACACACACACACACAGAGAAACACACAATGCATCCCTTACACACATACACACTGCATCCACTACACACACACTGCATCCCCTTTACACACACTACATTGTATTCCTACACACTACATTACATCCTCTACAATAACACATCCCCTACACACATACACTCTACTCCCTGTTAGCGAACTCATTGGTGGGCCATGTAGGTGGACTTACGGGCAGACCTTGTGGGCATACTCACGGTCAGGCACTGGGGGCCGAGACTTTGAGCTGTGTAAGGGGCCTCATAAAAGAAGCTGCTTCTTGTTCCCCGGGGCATTGATTTTTGTGAGCAAAGTTACAAACGGCCTGAGGAGAGCCTGTTCTACACCAGACCAGCGGAGCCAGACTGTATCATCATCCTCTCGTCCTCATCTGGTGGTAAGTAGGCAAGCTAGATGTCACATAGTGGGTACAGCATATGGGGGTTGGCAAAAATATGTTTTGCCTGTGGCAGCAAAAATTCTTGCGCCAGCCCTGTATCCCCATCAAATGAAAACTGGACTGGTATCTCATACCTGGGCGAGTCTGTTTCTCTCTTCTACAGAGATTCTGAACTACTTGTTTGTTTGTGTTCTTTATCTGGAATTTTATGTTTATGTTTAGTGACATTACTTAACCTCTTAAGGACTGGGGCAGTTGTACAACTTGTGATCAAAACAAAACAAAAATAAAACCTTGAATTTGCGCTATATGTCTGTTCTACTGTAATTCACCTCTTTCATATTACGTGCACCCACACTTATTATATATAATTTTGTTCACGAAAAAAGGGCTTTCATGTCACATCAAATATTTATATATTACACATTATTTTAATATGAATAAAATATTTTTTAAAAATGAAAAATTAAGACTTTTTTTTAGTTTTGCATGGCATTTTAATTGTGAATGTCATAATACTGTCGGCTGTTACTGCAATAAAACACACATATTTGTATTCAGCGATGTCTCACGGGTAAAACCGTACCCCCAATGTACAGGTTTTATGGTGTTTTGGAAAGTTACAGGGTCAAATATAGCATGTTACATTTTTCAATTTATACACATTGAAATTTGCCAGACTGGTTATGTTGCCTTTGAGACAAAATGGTAGTACAGGAATGAAAATTACCCCCATGATGGGATATGATTTGCAAAAGTAGACATCCCAAGGTATTACAAATGGGGTATGTCCGGTCTTTTTTAGTAGCCACTTAGCCACAAACACTGGCCAAAGTTAGCGTTCATATTTGTTTGTGTGTGAAAAATGAAAAAAACGAATTGATGTTGTGTTTCTGCCTTTAGTGGTTTCCAACTGAGATAGGTGGGTAAGAGGGGCTGATCTCCCGTAGCTGAGAGGTGTGTCCCACAATGCAATCTGACCAAGTTATAGTCCATTTAGAAATGTTTATTACATACTTTTCTAAGTTGTTCTTGCTTTATTTTGGTTTGTATATTTGCTTAAAAGATGGTGCATGCTGCCTTAAATTATCAGTGATTTTATTTGTTTGTTTTACTTACATTGACAAAAAAAAAAATATAACTTTTTTATTTTTAGTTTGTTAAAATAAATGATAAATGAACACATTGAATTAGCCTTTTTCACTTTGTGCAGTGGGTTTATATTATTTTCATTCTAAGTGCCTTTTATTTATTCTCTGTGCTATTCCCTTTTTCTTTGTTGCCCAGTTTTGTTTTGCATAATTAGTGAAGGGAATCTGATACTTTTGCACTAGAGGGAAGCTGAATCAGCTAGAATGTATTTTGGTTTGGTTGTTTTGTGAACTGTGTCCAGGATTTGTTTTTGTAGCCTACTCTGGTCCCGTGAATTATACATTTTGTAAGCAAACAGGTCATTTTCGACTAAAGTCACATATTTGAAAGCTTGTTGATTCACTGTTTTTCTTACCTTGTGGCAATGAGAGGATAGCAGAAAGCTGGTTTGCTGAAGCCCTCTCGGGTGTGTGGGAGACTGTTGTATAACAAGAGATCCTTCTCTGTAAGAATGGCCAGAAGATTCCGCTTGCCATCCTGGGTGAGCTGGCAATCAAAACAGAGAGACATCTGGTTGACTTTCATTAACACTGATTATAGATCTCTAGCTGTATTCGAATCCCATCCTCTGTAATATCCAGTGAGTAATGTGCTGGTATAAATGTGGTTTTAAAGTCCAATATTTTCTATATCTAAACTGCACTACAATGAAGTCATCACATTCTGGACCCAGAAATTGTATGTTACCTGCTCAGTCAGCCAACCCATGTGTTTAACCTCTTTGCCTAGATACTGCTTGATGTCGTCTCGAATTCGTGGTATAAGACAAGAAACATTGGTGTGGATGGCATTAAACCAAGACTGAGCTGTACCCTCGTCCTTCGCCCGCAGGAATAAAACATCTCGGCCATCTGCTGAGCAAATTTCTAGGTATCTGCAGAGCAACAAATAATGAAACACAAAGATGGTATTGTGAGAAATCAAACTTTATAGCTGATGTTAAAGTAAAAATATAACCTACATGTATAGGTCATGCATGAGATTGGAACTGTATTTTTGGAAACATAATATGTAACCCTTTGGTCCCAAGCTGAAAATTTCACAGGTTACCTTTTAAAACATGGTGGCCTATATGAGTTTGCCTCTACATTTCTTTTCTACACGGAACTGTGTGTAGGCAAAATTAACACGTATTTAGCTTTCAAAACAAAAATGTTCACCCACCAGGCAAATCATGGGAAAACTCCTGTACATGTGTCTTATGTATCCTGTGTCATATTTTCATCATACTTGGCTGGTGACTTCATGTTTCTCACTTTTTACTAAATCTATAATCCGCTTCCATTTTCACACCTATCCTAATAATAACCAAGCAAGAGACATAATTAAAGCGCCATGATCACCGTCTGGAGACTTTGCAGAATTCATGATATCGCCGCTGTGGTCCAGTGGAAGGGGATGGGGGTGGAGGGTGGGTTAGCTAGGTAAAGGTGAGTTATATCTCCTGGTCCTCTGAAGCGCCAGGAGCCAAAGTCTCTGCTGAACTCACGCATTTGTAGGAGTACAGCATTGAGGTCAATGGAGGATCCCACAAGACCCTGAGATCCTCCACAGATATAGACCAGGTGTAGGCAACCTTCGACACTCCAAATGTTGTTGACTACATCTTCCATGATGCTTTGCCAGCATTATGGCAATAAGAACATTCTGGGAGATGTAGTCCACAACATCTGGAGTGCTGGAGGTTGCCTTCCCCTGATAATTCCGTCACTGGTGACCGCTATGTGGATTGACACTTCTAGAATGTGGGAGTGTCTAGACATGTCAGGCGTAGAAAATATACAGAGACAAAGTAGTCCCTACTTTGTCTCAGTATATATCTTGAATGAGTAGTCCTTAAAAATTCTAGAGTGTAAGCCTTGCACTGATCTGGTAGGGAGTTTATATGCAAACCAGAGTTTGGACAGACTCCAAAAAATAGAAAATACAGTACACTGCACTTTTTTTTATGTTGCATATATTAGTTTAGCTGTTCTCTTATAAAATATGCATTTTCAGGTGAGCGCAGCATTTCTCTTCTATACGCTATATTGAAGTCTGAACAAACTCCAGTTGGCATCTTGCCCATTGCCAAATGGATATCCCATGTAACTGAGTTAATCCCATAGGAATTAGCTTGGCAGAATAGGACCTGCCAAAATGACTTACATTGATGTTGTGACAGGCTAATGCCATGTATGATCATATACTGTAACTAGATCCCCATTATTTGTGTTTTTAATAACTTTTATATTTTATGGAATGTGATGCTAGTTTATAGTTCAGTGAGTGAGTGCGCTAGGTTCTGAATATTAGCCTCTCTTATATTCTTCCCACCTGGGCTCAAGATCTGAGGGTATGAATCTTCGGGACACATAACACATCTTCAGTGGAATGCTCTTCCCATCCTTTATGTCCCGCGGGGGCAGAGCAGGAGAACCCTTCTTGAGTGGAGTGACTGGTGGAGTGGAATCCCAACTATTGGAGCCACTAGGTGGTGATCCTTTGAAGTACGGAGAAATTTCTTTCATGTATTTAACTAGTAAAATAAAAGAAACAAGATATTAAGCACGTCAGTGGGAGAATGTATAAATCAAGCAGAAATCAGTATAATGCAAAGGAAAAAAGACAGACTGCATATAACATTCAGTAATTTCTTCTAACATTTCCCCATATTGGTGATCACAATCATAGTTATATTGATAGTATCATAACAATGTATGCTCCTTGCAATGACGATAGAACTTAATTGCTTATAACTGCAGCATAAAATCCTTTCCATTCTTATTATTCTTATTATTGCTCCATAAATAGTATCTCTGAAAAAAACCCATTTGGAGCTCTAGAAAGGGTAACTGGTTCAAGTTTTTATTATTATAGGGACACATTAAAAACCGTAGTCACTTCAGCTGATTGGAGAGGTTATGGTGTTAGAATACGGTGCCTGCTACCCAACAATCCAATTTTTTAATTGTGTCAAAACAGGGCTTTAGATTTAACATTTTTATGAATGCATAAGAAATTATTACCTTTCTCCAGCGCCGGGCTCCCTCAGCGCTGGGGAACTCTCCTCCCTCTGCCGACGTCATCCGCCGAATGCGGTCCATAGGAAAGTATTTCTCAATGCTCTCCTATGGATATCAGCGTCTTCTAACTGTGATTTTCACAGTGAGAAGCGCAGAAGCGCCTCTAGCGGCTGTCAATGAGACAGCCACAAGAGGCTGGTTTAACCCTATTGTATACATAGCAGTTTCTCTAAAACATCTATGTTTACAGCTGCAGGGTTAACCCTAAATGTACCTGCCACCCACACCACTTCATTGAGCTGAAGTGGTCTGGGTGCCTATAGTGGTCCTTTAATGTCCTGTCATTCAAAGAGTCACACTTCCTAGGTCTTAGCCACACAGTAATCTGATTTGAGAGACTGCAGACGCTGCTCGCCAAGAGCAAGTGCTTTAAAGTCTAAGGAGTAACCTGTCTCTTTGGTGATGCGCTGTCCAAACACCCCACTGTCAGCAGCTTCATAGAAACAAGTCACTCCTGCATGTCTCTCCAACTGACATACTAACTCATTGGTATAGATTGGTATGAGATCCAGGAAGTGCAATTCCCAGCTGTCAAATTAACAGTGCTTGTATCTGGAGTTACAAGCTCTTCTGTCCAGCACCATAACCACCTAAATATTTCACCTTTAAAATGGCCGTCTAAGCACCATAGCAACTATAACTTTTTGTAGTGTTTCGAGTGCAAAGAGTCTTCAAAGTTGAAAAGTTCCAATGAATTTGCTTGTTTGTTGTTGTTTTTTTGTCAAAATATTTCCAGCTGAGCAATGAGTGTCAGAAGATGTCCAGTTTTTGTCAAAACTGCTTAAAACTAGGGGGAGGGGGATTTTCCCAAGATGCCTAGTACAATAACAACAACAAAGAGCTCAAAGTGGTTATGGTTACTAGACACCACCCCTATAATATATTTATACAATAATTTTAATTTACAGTGAGAGATTTAACATCGGAAAACAAACCAGAGAGACATTCACCATTACCTTGAGTTTACACTTTAAAAGTTCGTTATTTTTTATACACTATCTAACCTTTTGGAAATGGTTGCATAATATTATGCTTTTCCTGACTCTGTATATGTGTTGTGTGTATTTTTTTCCCCCTATTATTGTAACATTTTCAAGTTAATGTAGTTGTAGGAACTAGTTTATCAAACTGAGTTATTTTCCACTTTTTAAAAGTGTTTTGACTCCCCTTGTTGTGTTCGTTAATTGATAGCACTGATGTCAGCCAACAGTCAATTCACACATGAGACAAAACTGGAATGCATAAGCATTAGAAATTAATTGACATTCAGTGTTGCAATAAAAAAAAAACAAAAAAAACAATAAAATGTTTCAGTAAAGCACTTATTGTCAACCATTAAACTGCTGTGTAATGTACCTCATTGTCAGGTTCTTCCAAATAAAATGCTGGAACTGGTGATGAGTCAATCCATTTGATCCAATGTAATTCCCTAATGAAAATGCAATCTCTATAAAAATTTTTAGTGATAATGGTTTGCAGCATAATGTCTCCTGATCTCCTGACGATTGACACAGTGAAACAACAAACAAAGTTTAGAGGCTAACAATATCACGCCATTGCATATTCGCCTTATCACGCAAATCACAGATTCATGTCTTTTCCCACCATCTGTTGAAACACGTTCAAATTTGTCCCAGCCTATTCCGCGAGAAGCAAACTGTTTTCGTTTAGTTTTTTGCTCTGACAACACATTTTAATCAGCAGCAGCACCTAACGAGCTGCATAGTACAACCACTACTTTAGGAGTAAATATTGTGTGAATTTTACAAATTAATATGACAATTTGCACTGAATCTGTGATGTTATCATTTTGACATTTGTAAGTGTAAAACAAAAATGAGTTTTCCTTTATTAGACAATGATCAAATCAAATATAAGTCTTCTGTCTACATTTCCCAGGAACACAAACATCTATTCCTGACCCGATAGTGTTAAAACCACCATCTGGCCCCTCTGGTCCCCCTTGACTCACCTAAATATAGTGAAATCTTACTTTTGTCTAGGTCTGTAGCCACTGGCTCTGCCCCTGACCTGCCTGCTTGGATGACATCATTAAAAGTTATTCTCTGAGCCAATCACAATGCTTTTACATAGGATTGTCTGAGACTATCAAAGAGGCAGATCAGGGGCAGAGCCCCTTGAATCAGTGCATATCTATGAGGAAAGTTCAGTGTCTTTGTGCAGGAGGTGGAGACACTGAATGTCAGTGCTGCACACTGTGTAGCACTGCCCCAGGGAGCACATCTAGCAGCCATATGAGGAGTGGCCAGTGGATGTATCCCTATGCTGTAACGTAAACACTGCATTTTCTCTGAAAAACAGTGTTTACTGCAAAAAGCTTAAAGGGACTGATTATACTCACGAAAACAAATAAAATAAGCTGTACATAGTTACATAGTTACATAGCTGAAAAGAGACTTGCGTCCATCAAGTTCAGCCTTCCTCAGAAATGTTGTTGCTGTTGATCCAAAAGAAGGCAAAAAACCTGGTCTGAAGCACTTCCAATTTTGCCACAAACTAGGAAAAAATTCCTTCTTGACCCCAAAATAGCAGTCAGATGTCTCCTTGGATCAATCAGCTATTACCCCACTAATTAGAAATTATATCCCTGTATGTTATGTTTTTGTAAGTATTTATCCAATTTCAGTTTAAACATCTATATGGACTCTGACAAAACCACCTCTTCAGGCAGAGAATTCCATATCCTTATTGTTCTTACTGTAAAAAAACCTTTTCTTTGCCTTAGATGAAATCTCCTTTCTTCCAGCCTAAATGTGTGACCTCGTGTCCTATGTATAACCCTGTTTATGAATAGATTTCCAGATAAAGGTTTGTACTGGCCCCGAATATATTTGTATAAAGTTATCATATCCCCTCTCAGGCGCCGTTTTTCCAAACTAAACAGATTTAATTTTTTTAACCTTTCTTCATAACTAAAATGCTCCATTCCTTTTATCAATTTTGTAGCTCGTCTCTGGACCCTCTCCAGTGCCATGATATCCTTCTTTAGAACAGGCGCCCAAAATTGCACAGCATATTCAAGGTGTGGTCTTACCAGCGATTTATAAAGAGGCAAAATTATATTTTCATCCCGAGAATTTATGCCCCTATTTATACATGACAAAATCTTACTGGCCTTAGCAACTGCAGATTGACATTGCATTTTGCTGCCTAATTTGTTGTCTATAACAATGCCCAAATCCTTCTCGTGTGTGGTTATCCCTAATTCACTACCATTTAGTGTGTAAGTTGCTTGTGCATTCTTAACCCCGAAGTGCATAACTTTGCATTTCTCTATGTTAAATTTCATCTGCCATTTTAGTGCCCAGTCCCCCAATCTATCCAAATCTCTCTGCAACAAAGCAATATCCTGCTCACATTTTATTACTTTACAAAGTTTTGTGTCATCTGCAAACACTGATACATGGCTTTTAATGACTATTTCAAGATCAGCCTTTAAGGCACAATCTTTTTTATTTACTTTTTTTTTTAATTTTGTGATCACTTCAGGCGTTGAACCATTAGCACTTATTCTTGGTTCGTATCCCACTTCTTGATATGATTTGATGACCAAGAAACTATCCATCAGATTATTTTATTGTTGAATGTAGGAAGTGTAAAATCAGCATCGCTTCGGGTTAATTTTCACTACAGTGGAAATTCTATTCTTTTGTAGCGAACATTTAGCTTTTGGTAAGAGTTTATAATTACCTTGTACTAATGAACATTCAATCATAAAAATTCTGCATTGCATGCAGGTTTTACATTTCTTTAATGCAAACGTTTGCTGAATATGCAATATTCTCTATAAAAGTCTCTATGACAATATCATTTTGAATTATGTTGGAAATGTAATTATGTGATATACAAATTCTAAATAAAAAAACATAAACTAGTCCCATGGGGCACAGAATCGGAGAGGGTGTCTAAAGCAAAATCATTTATATACCATCTGTTACACACATAGTAACATAAAATACTATACTCAAAATGCTTTCTATAACATCTGCTTTACTCTTGATTATTTATATATCAGCTGATGTGACTTGAGTCACTTTTACGCCATCTGATGTGCCTAGAATAACTTTTAGCCCATCTGATGTAGCCACAATCACTTATATACACCATCTGCTGTGTATATAATAACACACAGACTATCTGATGAGCCTAAAAAGCTTTAGATAGCACCTGCTTTGGTCATAATGGTTTCTACATAAGCGGATGAGATCACAATCATTTTTAAACCATCAGATGTGCTTACAATCACTTATATGCCACCTGACATGCTCACATTAATGTACACAAGGCTCAGAAATGATCACCTGCTCACTGACTATCTGTAAGTGAATATTCAGATTTACCCACCCAACTCTCCCCACCACAACCACTTCAGGCAATCAGGCATTGCAGGGTCTTGCGTTACAAAGAGCAGGGATTTGACCCTAGAAGTTAGACAACTATTGGAAAAATGTATAAATTAACTCATAGAATAACCATAAAGTAGCATTGATATCGTTTTGTCTTTACTAGTCATCACTTTTTTTAAATTTACTTTAGTTTTTTAGTTTTATATAAGAAAAAATTGTGACTATTCTTGCAAATGAGGAGCATGATCTTTGTCAATTTCTGGCAATATGCGGAGCTTAAAGGACCACTATAGTGCCAGGAAAACATTCTCCCTCAGGGACCCCCTCCCGCCCGGCTCTGGAAAGGGGAAAGAGGTTAAAACTTACCTTTTTCCAGCGCTTGGCGGGGAGCTCTCCTCTTCCGATCCTCCTCCTCTCCGCCCATTCGGCTGAATGCGCACGCGCGGCAAGAGCTGCGCGCGCATTCAGCCGGTCGCATAGGAAAGCATTTTCAATGCTTTCCTATGGACGCTTGCGTGCTCTCACTGTGATTTTCACAGTGAGAAGCACGCAAGCGCCTCTAGCGGCTGTCAATGAGACAGCCGCTAGAGGCTTTGGAGGAAGGCTTAACCTGCTTAACCCCTTAAGGACCAAACTTCTGGAATAAAAGGGAATCATGACATGTCACACATGTCATGTGTCCTTAAGGGGTTAAACTGCTATGTTTATAAAAAAAATGGGTTAACCCTAGCTGGACCTGGCACCCAGACCACTTCATTAAGCTGAAGTGATCTGGGTGCCTAGAGTGGTCCTTTAAGCAAAGTTCAATTTCAGTCGCTAAGCTAATTTACTCACAATCCATTAGTCAAAAGAATTCCACAGAAGGGCAAACACTTGTATTGAGATCTGGCGTAAAGAAGAAAACATGATAAATATAAATAAAGGCAAGTAGTGAGTAAGGAAGTATAATCATTAAGATACAATGACTATAAAATTGTATTCATTGAAAGGGGATAAAGAAAGGAAAAGAAAAAAGGCCAAAAAGAAAAAAAAAAAAACATGACAGTGCCGCCTTAAAGAGACACTGTAGGCATTATAACCATTTCATCTCATCGAACTGGTTATAGTTCTTGGAGTCCCCTGGCACAGTCTGTCCATTCAATGTTAAAACATTTTCAAGCAATTTAAAAGTGAATTAGGGTGCATGGCTTCCCACAGCCCAGCCCCCACTGGAGGTGTGGCTGAGGCAGAGATTATACACTTCCTTGTTGTCATATCCATGCATGCCTGCAGTGGGCACTGTAGTAGGCTGAATGTGGTCACCTGACAGCTGCCCATACTGCTTAGGCTAATGCTCAGTAGCCCAAGCAAAACATAGGGGGATGGGCTACGGGGGACTTGTCAATCATGAGACATTAAAAACTATAAAAACTTGTCTATCATGAGACATTAAAAACTAATGCTGAATTTATGTTTTTGGGCACAGCGCCTCACCCCGCCCCCCAGCTTCAGATTCCCCTTTGGAGGTGACCACAGGAAATTCTAAATTTGAGGTGGCATTGGATAGCAATGCCACTTTAATTATGATTTTCATTTGATATAGTGCAGATATACGATATGCATTGCGAGTATATACATCAAAGCACTATCACTTTACTTGTTTAGTTTTCAAACAATTTTTTGTAAAAAAAAAATTTAGCACGTTAATTTTACGTTATATATAATCACAATGATTTTACAAGAGAAGAATTAAGTACACTTGAGTTAATTTAGCACAAGCACTATTTAATTTGTCTCCCATGTTAAAATTAGAGTATGACCCACCAGTATTGGGTTATTGTGATGTAGTGATTGGCTTAACACAATATGGCCATATGTGGGAACTGACTACCCATATTTGTTTGCTGAGATAGGTGATTTTAAGTAGCCTTGTAAGATTTAAAACTGTATTTTTCTGTGTGTAAACTGTTCCTTAATCTGTATTTTGTATACACTTTTGTTTCTACATTGCTGAGAAATGCATGTTCTGGGTGTGCTCCCAACTCCCTTTCTTTTACTTTTTATATTGCCGAATGAAAGGCCAGTGCCAGTGGATTCCAGACACTATAACCACTTCAATGAGATGAAGTAGTAAAGTGCCTACAGTGTCCCTTGAAGGGAAAGACTAAGGTAAGGTATTGGGTTGCAGGTGCAAGTTGAACTAACTTTGACAGACGCACAGTCGGATTTGCCGGCATATGCGTTTACCTTACCCAAACCCCATTAAGACACAGACACAGGTTATACTGTTGGAAATATTAGTCTACAGCTTTATTAATTATTAATTATTAATTAAATAATTAAGGAATAACAAATGGGATCATTGCCAACAAATCTTATTAAAGTCAACATTCCCTGTATATGTAACATACCCCAGGCAATGACCCCACAATAATAACAACAGATAACAATCTAAATAACATGTTAACACAGAAACTGGCCGTCCAATATGACCACATTTCCACCAGATTGTAGGGGTGTACTGAGACACCGCTACCCACCATATCGATTGTAGGGGTGTACCCAGACACCGCTACACCCCCAGGTTCGGAGCCACAGACGAGCTCGAACCTACCAACCACATGTAACACTGCCTAATCCACACTAAACCTCAGGATGCCCACTTTTTCCTCCATCTACCCCCCGATTTAACCTGGCCATTCCCCACCGCTGTGAAAAATGGGAAAATTACCTTCTGGCTCTGTAAAGGGCCCACTCCCCTAGCTGTGCTGATCCATGGGCTACATTACTATCATTTTGGATCTGATCTAGCTAGAGCGATGCACTGCCCCTACTTCCCTTAGTATATTTAAGTGGGATTACAATAGGATTACAATAGGTCTGGGATTTTCTCCAGTTCTTCTTTTGTCACAGCTAGTTTGGACATTTTAAGGAGATCAGAACAGAATCTCTCTCAGCATGGATATTTTGCAGTGATTATGGTGCATGGCATTCCTCTGGTTTCTGTCATACCAAACAAAAACTAAGACTCCCAAAACTCCTATTAGGAGGATGGGAAACTACTTGAAGACATACAGTATGCCCAGGTTAGGATGGCTGAGATACTCAGAGTTTACAGGATGGCTTTGTACAGAACTTTCTCATTGTTTTGGCAGAAGCAGCAAAGGGGCTGGGCTTTGGGCCAAGTTTTTCTCAAACTTCTGCAAAATGTTTTGAGAAAGACCACAAGTAAAGACTCAAATTTTAGTGTGTCTTTCCAAGAATTAGGACAACCTGGAATTTGAGTTTTTTCACTTAAGTGGTTGGTTGGGCATATTAATGCACAATAATTATTTGATCTGATACAGTTTGCTAACTTCAGCCTTGATTTAATATTTTTGGGTAGATGTTTAAAAAATGTTAATAGAAATATATATATTATTTTGTAATCTTTATACATATGATCATTTTAAAAGTTTGTCCAAAAATAATAAAACATTTGAAAGATTTATCCAAAAATATAAAATGATTTGAAATGTTATCCAAAAATATGAAATCAAGACCTTCTTTGGAAGAATCGAGACCTTCTTTGGAAGATGGTTGGTTAAACAGTTACTGTTATTTATAAAATTACTTCTGTTTATTAGTGGGGATATGTTTGTTATCTGTGGTAGAATTTGTGTTATAATGTTCGACATTGAATAATAAAATAACAAATTCATGCACAAACCTCCATTAATTGGCTACAGTGGCAAAAACAATAAATACCTTATTCAAGCCATTATGCAAATTGTAGCTACTGTCTGGCTTAGAGCTTCAGAAAAACAGCTTAACCCCTAAAGGTAGGCAAGCGCCAGGGACCTATTGTCACCATAACAACTTAATTTGTATGAAGTTGTTATGGTGCCCAGAGTGTTTTTTTAGGCACATGGTATTTTCAGTGATGCTTTCTTTTTATTTTTATAGATCTGCTTTGAAATATGTTGGCTCAACTGAACTCTTTAGTTAGAGTATCTGGTAACATGCTAAGATGTGGTTTTTTGTCCTATTATAAATCTCTATTAAAAATTTTGTGTAAATTCTTTTATTCAAACCACATTCAACCTTGTAATATCTTGTCTGGAAAGTGTGTTATTAATGCGCATAAAGACACGAGGGTAAGTTTTAAATGCATCAAAATGTTTCTTTGAGAAATGTCTATCATTATCAGATTATGCTGAGGTTGTGGAGAAGTGTAACATTTATACAACGGGATTCTTAGATACATTGGCTTAAAGGGACACTAAGCACGGAAACAACTACAGCTTTTGGCAGTGGTCACTGTGCAAGGAGTGTTTGAGTGCAGTTTTTTTTTATTGTTTTACAAACTGCTCAGAATTACTTTGATAAGTATTATGGCAACCGCGCAAAAGCAGTACCTCTGCTGCCACTGACATAATCAACAATTTCACTATCATTATTACAAACTTTTAACATATGCGTGCTTCCAAATTTCTACGAATAATGAGATAATGAAATTAATATTATTAGCTTTTATATAGCCCCAAAATAATCTGCAGTGCTTTACAACTACAGAATAGGGTATTTGACAAGTAAATTGCACACAGAATATAACAGAGGCATTAGGCATTGGGGGATTAATGGATAAGATACCTGTGTTGAAGTAAGATAGTAAAAGCAGAGTGTGGAACAAATGTAACAGTGGCAGGAGAGAGAGAGAAAGCTGGGCTAAGAGAAATGATGAGGTTAAAACGAGAGAAGCGTCATCCAGGAACATGGTCAGCATTCCTAAGGAGGTGTGTTTTAAGTGACTTCTTAGAGGACTGGAGGCGAGGGGAGAGTCTGAAGGCACAGAGTAGTGCATTCCAAAGGAACAGGGCAGCTCTTGAAAAATCCTGCAGATGAGAGTTGGCAGTGCGGGAACGAGCAGATGTCAGGAGAAGGTCATTTGCAGAGCAAAATGAACTAGAAGGGGTGTATTTGTTGAGTAAAGAGTAAATGTAGTGAGGAGTGGAGTTAGTGAGGGCTTTGTATGTCAGTGTTAGCAGTTTAAATTGGATGCTGAAGGATACAGGAAGCCAATGCATTAATTGGTAAATTTGGTGCGAGACTACTGGTTAGCATTCATAATAGACTGAAGAGGGACAATGCGGGTATTTGGGAAGGGCAATGAGTAGAGAGTTGCAATAGTCAAGTCGGGGAATGATGATGAGTGTATGAACAAGTACTTTTGTTATATCTTGAGTTAGAAATGAGTGAATGCAGGCAATATTCTTAAGGTGGATGTTACAGGATTGTCTTATTACTTCGCAAGCAGCAAAGAGAGTTGCTTTAGGTGGCTGCTCAAAAACAATAACAAAACCAGAGGGACTGTGACTCCACACAGCTCCAAGCTTTAGTGGTTATGGTGTTTAGGCTGTCCCTTTAAACAAGCTAAAGATACATTTGCCTAGCTGCATTTTGGGATACTTTGATTCCCTATGGTTATATATGTTAAAGTGCAACCGTCATGTTTGAGTCGATGACAGTTCCATTTACACTCACCCCAGTAAGAGCTATATTATGTAGTACGCAATTTTATTATTTTTTTATTTAGAGGCACTTAATGCATCTAATCCACAGAGAGCTGGCAACAAGTCAGCAGTAAAAGCAAAATTAAATAACAAACAAAATGAAAGAAACAATTATTGTCAACCTATAGCCCAATCTATCTGCAGTCAAATACCTTCCACAAACTGTAGCCATCCCTAATTAACTAGAAGGAAGCCCTGTTGGTTCCTATCAAAACAATTAGTGCAAGTATGCCCGTTTTGAGACTAGCCACAAATGTGCATATTTCTGAGTACTGAAATGTCAACTAAAACAAATTGTGTGAAAAAAAAAAGACCTAACATCCATTGGTAATGTAACTCTCTCCAAAGTGTGCAATATTTGTCATTAGGCAAACCTTTTTTTTTTTCTTGTCATGATTTCTCTTTCAGGGGAGCCCAATTTTTTTTTTTTTTAAATGTTGCTGATAATTGGTGACTTTATACTCAACACTTACCGCAGACACCAATGATGAGATATGGGTTTTTACTGCATGCACTGATTATTGGTGAGTTTTTATCAATAAATGGTAAATTTGTGTATGTATTGCAGGAACCTCTGACAGGTGGGTTTTAATTTCATGCGACCCTAATGATTGGCAATTTTTTCCAACATGCACCTCTGATGATTGGTGAGATTTTGCCCTCAATTTTATCACGGCTGATAACTCTGTGCCATATAGAACCTTGCTTACTACCGGGTACCAGGACAACCCAATGCTACCACAACTACCAAGGTCTATGTCAGAGGTGGAGCAGATAGTTCCTTCTCATCACTAGATCAGGGGGTCCAGAAAAGAAGTTCCTAACCCAGTCCTCAAAGCACATTTAAAGTTCAGGATTCTGATTTGAGAACCACTAAAGCACACTTAAAAAAACAAAAAACTATAATTGGAGATGTTGACAAATTGTGGGAAAAAGGGAAAATATTTTTACACTAGCTTACTCATTTTTAGGCCCAGCTACTGGATTTAACTCAACATTTAAACAACTATGTAGTCTGCTTAAAAAAATACTTAAACTCACATTTTCCATGTATTTTATCATATTTTATAGCTGGGATTGTGTTTGAGAATAAGCCAAGTTAAAACATTTCCTTACGTTCCTGGCAATTTCTGTCTTGCTGACTTTCAACAAAGAATTAATTCACCACCCCTTAAACTGTCTTTGCTGTCTCCCCGTAAAGCATACTAACTGATCTTACTGAATAAATTCTTAGTATTTTCACTAGGTTATTTTAAGATGGGCCAAGAGCTTTGAGTTCTTAATCATCGAGCTTTGAGTTCTTAATCATCGATGCATGTATGACACATTGGTATCTCCCTGGACTGCGGATAGGATGATTACTGAAAAAAAGTTATTTGGGACAGCTTGTCTGGTCCAGGCACATTTTGAAGTTAGAGCTAGTTTCTGTGGATGTGGCATATGAAGCAGTCTGAGAGACTATTGGTTTAAAAAGAGAAATTGTAGGGAGTTATAGGGAGGGTTATATGGAACAATCGTAGGAGTTATAGGGAGGGTTATATGGAGCTATATGAGGTGATATAGGTAGAGCTATATAGAGAAATAGGAATAATTATAGGTAGGGTTATATAGAATAATAGGAGGAGTTACATGTAGCGATATATAGAGCAATACGAAGAGCTATAGAGAGGGTAATATTGTGTAATAGGAGGAGTTATAAGGAGGGTTATATGGAGCAATAAGATGAGTTATAGAGTGTTATGTGTCTCATTGTCCCCAGCCCCCCTTGTGTATCTCATTGCCCTCAGCCCCCCTCATGTTTCTCATTGTCTATAGCCCCCTTCATGTGTCTCATTGTCCACAGCCCCACTCATGTGTTTTATTATCTCCAATCCCCCTCATGTGTCTCATTTCCTCCCACCCATGTGGCAGCTCACCTCCCTTCTCCTGTGTGGCGGGCTGAGCGCAGACCGTGGAAAAGGAGCTTGTTTCCCTCTCTCCGGTTTCACAGGAAATAGTTTGGCGCCCTCAGTGAGAGCTTCCTGTAAGGTCTGCGCTCAGCCCGCTAGACTGGAGTGAGACCACACAGGAGGAGGAGAATGACTGGCAGGAGGAGACCACTGTGCCGCGCTACCCTCCTGCCGGTCACCCGAATCTTGCGTCCTTGGGCCAGTGCGCCATACGGCAACCGCCTGGGCTGCCTTATGGTAGCGCCGGCCCTGCTCTGAACACTATAATAACTCGAATGAGATGAAGCAGTTACAGTGCCTATAGTGTCCTTCTAACCAAAAGCCATGCTCTATTAACCTTGCACATGCAGAATTAACCTCAAACCTGCAGCATTAAACCTGCAACCATTACTTTAAAACCCTGCACTTCAGTAATGCATCCACACTGCACTGTATAATTAACTCCAAATATGGTGTATTGAAGTGGTAATAACACAAGTTATGTAATGTCTCCCAATATTACACGAGAATCAATTAAATGGTACCTAAATCAGACCCCGGTCATTTAAGGACCTAACTTGTGGCTCAACCCTACGTCAGACCCTCAGTAACACCCCTTGGTTATAAAGAGGGTTATATGAGGATTTCTAATGAGTGATACCCAAGCATTGTTATAGTGTTACATTATGATTGCAGAATATGTGGTTTCAGCACAATATACATTGTTTAGGTAGCAGAACGTATTAAAACCATTATCATTAGAATTTGTACAGAGTACAGAAGGAATAACAGGCACAATTTACAAAGCACTGTGAGATGCTTTTGTTGATTACACAAAATTGACTAATTACACATTGACTAATCATAAGGCTTGAGCAAAATGCAATCCACCTTTGTTTGATTTATGCGTGGCCTGCTGCCAGTACTCTGCTCATGTGCTGCAGCTTATTTTACAGTTTTAGATGTTGGACATTCTTATAGGCCATATCATCTGCTGAAATCAATCACACTGGGATAAACTATACCTGCAAGAAATATCTGTATTAAGAAAACAGCAATAGAGACATCGGAAAAGAAGAAAAAGAAGAAAGATTTGTTAGTAGTACCTTTAATTTAAAAAAAGCCTAAGGATGGCTAAGGATCATGTGATTTGAAGTTCTTAGAAATCTGGGATGTTAGCCATTACTCACTTTATACCATTAAACAGTTAAACTTGTTCATTGCCAGTAGAGGAATTCTCATGGGTCTTCCAAGTACAGAACATTAAGCCTTTCACAGCTCACTGGGCACAAGTGTCAAAGCTTTTAGTCTACTAACATACGTACAGCCAGATCCAGAATTCAAGTTAAAGTGAGGTAAAGCTGGATTGCAAGAACATGCCCTACCTCTGTAACCATTTCCATGTCATAAACTTTCTAACAGCCGGCAGGTAAGGTAAACAAAGTCACTTGTCAAGTAGACAGTGGTCTCACTTGGGAACAGACTCTTAAAGGACCACTATAAGCACTCAGACAACTTCAGATCAATTAAATGGTCTGGGTGCCAGGACCCCCAAGTGTTAACCCTGCAGCTGAAAACAGCAGTTTCAGAGAAACTGCCATGTTTACTTTGCAGGGTTAACCCAGCCTCTAGTGGCTGTCTCCCTGACAGCCACTAGAGGCCGCTTCCGCAATTCTCAGTGTGAAAATTACATTGAACTCACATTGGACATACATAGGAAGGCATTAAGTAATGCTTCCTATCGGTGGTTTGAATACGCGCACAGCTCTGGCCGCGCATGCTCATTCGGCTCCACTTGGGAGCTGACGTCGCGGGGGGAGGAGAGGTCACCAGCGCTCAGGGAGCCCGGTGCTGGATTAAGGTAAGTGGCTGAAGGGGTTTTAACCTTAAACCCTATTTGTTTGTTTTCCTGGCACTATAGGATCCCTTTAAAATGTTACTGTCATAAGTACACTTCAGTCCCAATAATATATCTCTGCCGTAGACGTTGGTCCTAGAACAAACGCACACCTTTCAATATTACGATTATTGAAACATTTTATTGAAACATTTTGAACTCTAGAGCGTCTGAATTGCTACAAGTGACTTTCTAATGATACCTAATGGCTCTAGAAGGCATACATCCATAAAACGTACATTGCTTTCAGATAACATAATAAAAATGTCACTATTATTGTCCTTTTCTGTGAAAAGAATCTAATACATTATAAATGCCTGTATGATTAGAAACAGATAGATTCTAGCAATGGTTAATCCATTATGCTGGGTTCAATTTCAAAGCATTATATAGTTAAAGAAGCACTCCAAACACCATAACCACTGCAACGTGCATTCCCATTAGCTCCGTGAGTTAAATCTGGCAGTGGAGGGCTAGCTCATTGGCTGTGAGTGTCACCCTGCACCACCAGGCTTCACTCAGAGTCCCGGTGCAGAGGAGGCAGGGAGAGGCACCTGCTTGGAAAAGGAATACTGTGTACTTCACTGCATGTTCATTTAACAAGTTGTTATTTAAAGTCACAATTAAGTAACATTCCCATTTGAAATCCCCACATGCTGGGTGTTCAACTTCTAAAATTGTCCATGTAATGTGAGCATAAATTGAGAACAAAAATAACAGCAACAGTAAATGCTTACAGACAGCACAACATGCACTGTGATTAAAAAGGACATGCATCATTTTAAGACAACTGATGTCTCACAGTAGCCTCACTCTTCAAAAAAAAATAGATTTTTTTTCATGTTTACTTGTCCTTCTTTCTTACACTTTCCACACCCACTCCGGGAGACACACTGATCTAACCAACCAGTGTCCTATCCCCAGGAATTCTGGAAAAGTGCACTGGGTATTCCTGCCAGATTTGCAGATGTGCAGTTGGAAGTATGATGATGCAGAGCAGACGTCAATATCAGGTTTCTCTTCCTTGCTGCTCAACAATGATTTTCTGTTTCTCGCATTAGTGTATTGGTTTGAAACTTTGATAGGTCTGCAAGAGGGAGTGGGGGAAGGGGGCTGAAGAAACTCCCCTAGCTGAGAGGTGTTCCCAAAAATGCAATCTGACCAAGTTTATAGGATATTTATAAATGTTTATTACATACATTTCAAAGATTTTCTTTGAAGATTTTCTTTATTTTAGTTTGTATATTTGTTTAAAAGTGTTTGCTTGCTGGTTAAAAAAAAATAATTGTCAAGTGATGCATGTCCCTTTAAAGGACCACTATAGGCACCCAGACCACTTCAGCTTAATGAAGTGGTCTGGGTGCCTGGTCCAGCTAGGACTAACCCTTTCTGCTGTAAACATAGCAGTTTCAGAGAAACTTCTATGTTTACATATGGGTTAATCCAGCCTCTAGTGGCTGTCTCATTGTCAGCCGCTAGAGGCGCTTCTGCGCTTCTCACTGTGATTTTCACAGTGAGAAGATGCCAGCATCCATAGTAAAGCATTGAGAATGCTTTCCTATGAGACTGGCTGAATGTGCGCGCGGCTCTTGCCCCGCATGCGCATTCAGCCGATGACGGAAGAAGAGGGAGGAGAGTCCCAGCACCGAGGGAGCCCAGCGCTGGAAAAAAGGTAAGGGATTAACCCCTTCCTCCCCCTTCAGCGCCACGGGAGTGGGACCCTGAGGGTGGGGGCACCCTCAGGGCACTATAGTGCCAGGAAAACGAGTATGTTTTCCTGGCACTATAGTGGTCCTTTAAACTACCTAAATAATCTGTATACATTCGCGGACATTTAAATGAAAGCTACCTTTATTAAACGATCACTCTAAACACCATCTCAGGTTAGCTTGATTGCAGAGCACCACGAGCCTACTCTCAGCTCTGTGAGTGGCTTAGTACTGCAGCAATTCATAAAAATTGTCGCAGCTGTATGACAGCCCTTTGAGCAGTCAATCAGGCAGCCTAAACGCTCTGGTCTTGGCTGCCTATATAAAGTGTGTCAAATAAAGAGAGAGAGAGAAAAACAGACGGTACATATTCTGGTTTGCAAAATGATGTAAACTAACATGGTATGGCTGTTATGAATTTACAGAGCATTTTTTTTTTTTAAATAAGATATAGTTAAACCTGCTCTTGGGGACAAAAAACGTATTAAATAAATTCTTGTTGAACAGGATAAGAGTCTCTCACTGGTTTAGAAGTGTATCTTTGTAAATGCAGGCAGATCCACTAATTAGCCATATGTATCTTTTTTTCATAGTTCATGTTTTAGATTATATCTCATTCGTTATCTATATAATGCATTAAAATAGGGGTAATTGCTATTGATTTGTGTTCAATCTGTACATTAACCTTTTTAGCCTCATGTGCAATCTGTACTGCACTCCTGGCACCAAATCCACTATAGTGGGCTACAGTAGTTATGGTGCTTGGATTGTTTCTTTAAGGGGTAAAACCCTTATTTGTAAGCTTTACATGGAGTCAACTTTTTGTTTTCGCACTAACAACAGACATGCCATTTATACAGGCTATGTTTGTCCCTTTCTACAAAGGGCAGAAAAGATCGTCGAATACAGGTTAGTCCCACTGAAAACAGACTAAAGTAAGTGTAGCGGACGGCATGTGACTGTCCGCCAGAATTATATTTTAAAAGACTGTTCGCATGTTTAAACTGCCTGTACATTGAAAATTGCATAGACATTCGTATGTTAGTTCGGTAGTTTCCTTCATAGCTTATACGAATGGAAACTACCGAATACATAGACCACCTTAGAGAAGAAGTGTGTCCCTAGTTAAACCCTTATTCCCTCTCTAACCGCAGTTAATTGATGTTATATTGCTGTATCTGGGTGGCAGCCATTCAGTAGACGAACACGCGGCGGCAGCCATCTTACGCACGAACTCTCAGCGGTGTTTGGTCGTCGAGTGTCTGGAACTCAAATCGGACACTCAATTGCGCGAACACCGCTGAGACCTCCAGAGCTCACGAACGGAGGGGCTAATTGACTCCTCGTTCGGTGAGTTCCATCTACCAAACAAGGGGGTTCATGCGTACCCAGTATTATCTATGGATGGCAAGGATTTATACCTGTTTTACCTCCCGAACGTGGACCGACCACAGGGCCAAAACACATGGAACTCCTTTCGGCTACATAGTTGTGTGCAGTCGGTCAAATCGTTTATTCCCTATAACTCCCGAACCCCTGGTCTGATCTGGGTAAATTTTGAGTATGTTGGTCACCCAGACCAGGGCTACCAGGGGATGCCACTTAAGTTCTGGTACCCCACAGTTTTGGGGTACATCCAAGAAACAGGGGAAAAGGTACCAGGATTAATTGGATTACATGTCACACTGAGGGGAGGGAAAGTAGGGGAGGGAACCTCTGTATTATTGGTTACTGGTATAATTACTGTAAATCCCTCCCTTGCATGGGAGAATCCTTTATAAGGAACTGCTGTGAATAAAAGTTTAGTTCTGCCTGATGCTGTGTGTCATCCAGTCATTGGGATTGCGATTGGGATATTGTTGGAGTCTTTTTGCCTGCTGGAATTATTACTCTGTGGATTTATTATACTTGTTCCTGAGCCTTACTGGGATCTAAAGTGGAGATAGGCTGTGTAATACCAGCTCTCTGCTACAGTAAGCTTGGGCTGATTGTAGATAGTTGCCTTGATGTGTTAATACGTGATTTAACATTTATTTGGGGAGATTTATAAAGCGTTGCAAAAATTGCCATTGAAACGAAGAGAATAAGCATGAATATTTTATTGGGGATTCTATCACTTTTATATATATATATATATATATATATATCACTACTCTGGCCATGACACTCGACAATCTCACCCATTGACTTGCTTCTAGCTGATCTATTAGAAGTTTCCTATGTCAACCAGTTCACTGAATGAAAATGAGAAAATAAGAAGCATTTCAATGCAGACTGCAGCTCAGAACTCATTGTTCCTGGGCAGCGATCCATGATTCCCCTTACTGACCCCAGAGTCAATGTCCCTTTAAGAATCAGTCTCCTCAATTCAGTATTTACTGCTCTCTGAAACTGTATACAGCGGAGAAGAGTGACAATAATTTGGATCCAAGTTTATAAGCGGGTGCCAGGTGTCAGGAAGCATTCCAAGTTGGCACAGGTAAAAATATGTAAAATACATAAATAATTAAAGAATAAATGGGTCATACTAATAAACCTGTCGTGCTCCTTTACTCTATCCCTGGTACTGATCTCAAATATTGTTACATAGCCTGGACAGGGAGATGCCACCACCATGGTTTATACATTCCAGAGTTTATCATAAGGTAAATAATAATGTTGCCCAGCAGTATGTACAGTTCACCTGCTAACACAAGAAAACCAGTAAATTAAAGGAAATCTCTCCTTATCTTCTCATACTGCCTAACATCGGGAGATCAGGATGGGTGGGCATGGCTGAGAGGAGGTGTCCCCAGTGACATGACCTAGTGTTTTGCACAGTGCAAGCATGTTTAATGATGCAATCACTGCCTGAGGACAGTTCCCTAGTATCATCGGATTCGAGACACCAGGGAACTAAATGAGGATGACTAGACAAAATCGGGGCTGTTAAGAGGCTTGTTTTTTTATTATTATTGAAAATAAAATATCTAGTATAATATAAATTATGTGTGTATTATTTTGCAGTGAATATATATATATATATGTTAACTAATGTTAAATTGCCATTTTAACGTCTCAGAAGCACCGCTTATCCGTTAAGACCATGTATGATATGAAGGTCTGAAACAATTCCAAATTGCATTTTTGAGATGTCCTTTGCTTGCTCACAGTTTCACTATTTGTGAATCCACAATAGATGATCTTACCAGCATGGTTTTTGGTGAAAAGAGGTGCGCTTTGACCAGAAAGGATTATAGATGGCCGTCTTCAAGGCACAAGGGTAAGCCAAGAGATGAAACAAGATATTTACTTAGATGAAGGGACAATCCCAACATTGGGCCAATTGATATGACTGGGAACCCGAGAACATCATCATAAGTGATTTTTCAACACTATCTAAATAGGACTTGTGACGAGACCAATCTCGCCACATTGCATTGGAGAAGCCTGGTTGCTCGCCTGCTGCCTCTGGACTATGGCCCCTCTGTTAAAAGACTTTGTTTCGCCTGCAGAAAAGCTGTATTCGTGCTTTTCTGCCGGTTGTTTGGTAGATTCAATATACCGAACAACCGCACGAATGAATAGACCACCTGGGAGCTGGAGTGTGCCGGCAATTAACCTCCCTGAAGCTGCGGTTAACCGCAGCTTAATTGACGAATGCTGGGTGGCCGCCATTCGTATCCCGAGCACGAGGTCGCGGCCATTTTAAACATACGAATGCACAGCGGTGTTCGACGCTTAATTCATGGAACTAAAATCGGCCACAGTTTTGCGCGAACACCGCTGAAGCCGCCGACCTCCCTTCTTGTTCGGTGGAAGTACACGAACGGCCGGTGTTCGGTAGTTTTACTTGTCTATGTTATACCCCAGATAGGAATCCCATGGAGCCCATTCGCTTGAAACTGACTGTAAAGACTTTGGCTCCATGGCGATTAAACTGTATTCGTGTGGTCTGAGCACCATTCGCTTAATAATGTGCTCAGACCTGAGCTATCTGGGGATATGTTAAATGTATGGTTTTAATGGTATGTGTCTTACATGGTGTATTTTAATAGTAATTCATGTTTTAGTATCCCCACGTGCATAATGGCGATTTGCCTTTGTCTTGGGAGATAATTGAATTACTTCTCAATTATCTCCCAGGGCAGAGGGGAGGAAGCCAGGATGCATTGTGGGAATATATTGTGACTGTGTGTCCTATTTGTCTGCTTGTCTGTCCCTTGTCACAGTCTCCCATTTGGTCCCCTAGGGGAGTGTCCACCAGGTGGGAGACCTGCATAAATATGGGCAGGTAGCCCTCATTAAACAGACCACTGCTTGACCCTCAACACGGAGCCTTGTCTCGTCTTTGGGGGGATTTACTGAATGCTGATAGAGACTGATTGCTAGGAGTGTAAGCCGCTTGGATGCTTTTCCTATACGTCTGGTAGCAGCAATTCGTATGGTTCCTGTTCGTGTATTTGGAGTGCTATATTGGATGCCGTTCGGGAGTTTGCAGCATTCACTTATTGGCAGTTCGTGTGTTTGGTGTTCTACAGTAGCTGTGCCTGCATCTCTGGAAAGGGGGGCGATCGCCTAAACGGTTTTTACCCCTTTTGTGCAAAACGGTCCGTTACAGGACTGATAATAGGAGAGGGCTGCAGACACTATGGCTGGGATTGTTATCACTGGAGGTGCTGACGGCACTATCTGGCTGGAACTTTTATGACTGCACTTTGGTAATGTGATTTTGGGTTACAGGCAAACTATGGGGTTTGAGTGATGTGATTGGTGGGATTGAGGGTGATTGGATTATGAGAATGGGTAACGACTAGTATGATGAGATTGGTTAATGTAACTGGGGCTGTTTGTGATGATGTCATAGAGATGAGGTAATGTGATTGGGTGATGATGGCATGAAGATAGGTAATGTTATAGGGGCATGGGTGATGGAATTATAGGGATGAAGTAATGTTATATGGGCTGGGTGTGATGATGTTTTGAGGCTAGGGTAATGTCACTGGGATTAGGGGATGGGCTAATGTGATTGGTACAAAGGTTGATACCATTATAGACATGGGTTCAAGTTATTATGGGTGATGAAATTATGAGAATAAAGTAATATGATTTGGGCTGGGTTTCATGGCCATAAATGTACTTACGGTAGGTGGGACCAGGGGTAGAAATGTATTTTGGCTCCCTCCCCTAAATTGTCAAAAAAGTAATTTTAGAAATTGGGGGAGTTTCCTTTGCACACCTCCAACCCCCTTGTTAGGGAAATTATATGCACATACTGACATTCATATATATATATATAAATATATATATATATATATATATATATATATATATATATACACATTCTATTTCACACATACTTACTTTCATATACACACATAAATTCATAAACGCACACAGCCTCATACACAAACATCCACAGACACATATACACATACAGAGACTCACACACACATACACATACACAAGCATTCATAATACACACACACATACTTGCGTACATACACACAGATTCATATACACACATTCTACATAAACACACATTCTGCCCCTCCCTTCTTCCCAAACTGCAGTGTTTTCCTTTTGCTCCATAAACAATACTGTATAGAATAAACTCAGCAATGCTATAAAATGTTATGTCAGTGTCAACATTTTCTGAGTCACTTTCTGGTTTTGCCAGAACTGGTGACATTCCTTGCTAATGTTTTTTGATTTGTTGACTGTATTTTGATTTTTTTTTTTTTTTAAGCTTTATCTCACTTATGAGGCCAAAATCTATATTCTAGGTGTTTCTAATTTACTTTACGGCATCTGAGGTTGTGTCCACAAGACATTCTGTGACACAGCCTACACTGCAAATAAATGGAAGTTGTTTTGCGTACTGTGAGGAGGGACCAATAACACAGCTGATGCAGCAGAATGCTGTCTACAATGTTGTTGTCTGGAATGTTGGGTCAAGAAACCAGAAAATAGCTGGATCAATGAACGCTGGGCAGCTGAAGTTACGGCAGGTGAACAAAAACCGTGGACACTGGCTAAGGATAAGCCAGAACAGATGGGAAGGAGCCCATAACTGAGCAATGCAACATGGGAAGCTCAGAATATAAGTATGCCACCATGGCATTAAGGAAGCTGCATAGAAATTCTAGAAACTTCATAATATTCACAGAAGCTTCTTAAATATGCTGAAATAATGCATGCATACCAACACTCAGGGGATATAATGAACTGTTGATTATGACAACAGCATAGCTTGACACAGATGCAAATTGCAGTGACAAGTTTGACACTAAAAGTCATCATTAAAAGAGGACACTCACTTCTCTGAAAGTGACATTTCCTCATTCCTTCACCCAAGTCAGCACTATTGACAGGGAAATAAATAACGTAGAGGTGGTAAGTAGTGATGTCCCGAACGGTTCGCGAATGGTTCGCCACAAACTCATCGTTGAGTAAACTTTGACCCTCTACCTCACAGTCAGCAGACACATTCCAGCCAATCAGCAGCAGACCCTCCCTCCCAGACCCTTCCCACCTCCTGGACAGCATCCATTTTACATACATTGTGAAGCTGCATTCTTAGTGAGCTGTCCAGGAGGTGGGAGGGTCTGCTGCTGATTGGCTGGAATGTGTCTGCTGACTGTGAGGTACAGGGTCAAAGTTTACTCAATGATGAGTCCGTGGCGAACCGTTCGTGGCGAACCGTTCGCGAACCGTTCGGGACATCACTAGTGGTAAGTAAAAAAGATTTTAGTGTTTGTTTTGTTTACCTTTGTACTGCACTTTGGAACATGTTAGCACTATATATATAATTGTAATTGCACTTCGGTGCTCAGGGTGATGTCACAGTTCCGTGATGCCTTAGATGCATTGATGCACACTTGGAAAACTGTACAGGAAAACTTTTTGTGAAAGCATACAGATATTTCTTTAGTAGTGCCAAGCCTGAGTATGACTACAGCAATGCTGAGGTTAATCTAATCTACATGTCAGGCAGGGTTCTGTGTGGTACCCCAGATCCAAAAAGGCACCATTAAAACAGTATTCTAATGAATGGTACTGTAACAACTGTGCACACCTAGTAACTCAGTTATTTTATAACAGTGCTGTAATAATGTGCTACAATATTAACCCTGTGCTAGCCATTAAAAGAATTGGCAATTCACAAGTTCTTGTAAACAAATTACCTTTTAATTTTTTTAATGGAAACCTTACTTGTCAATACTTGAAGGAATCTCCAATCCAAAAAGCAGTGTTAGAGTAACCATTACTGGCATCTCCAACCTCCCACCCCCAAAAAAAAAGATTTTTAAAAATGGAAGGAAAAGCTTACCTGTGATTGTACTCCACGTTCTACCTGCATCCCGATTATATAATACCCTGAACATTAACAAGCTGTACACATAAATATGCAGAAAAATGATATATCTCTGCCAAGATTATATTAACTAAATTTTCCCAAGAGATAGGTATGTAACAAAGAAATAACAAAGGAAATACTTATCAAATGAACAACTTAATAATGTATAAGAACGTTTAACATTTTCAAATTGGAAGGAACACACACACAGAAACATTTGCACTTTAGCACAGGGATGGCCAAAAGGTAGACCCCCAGATGTTCTAGAACACCAGGACAGCGATGATACACTGCAAACTTTAAGACATCGTGGAGGCCTGTAATTATATTATGGTGGGGAAGCCACCCTGCTTAATCACATAGATTTCATTTTTGGTTCAGGTAAGATTAGAAGGCTGAACACTTAGGTAATATGAACTGTTTCCCTGCTCTGTGCCTTTTCTCTGTGTGATGCTGTGTAATATCCCACTGTCTTCATGTTCCATTCCTCCCACATATCCCTCCCAGCATGTTCGGAATGTACAGAGCTCCCCTTAGCAGCTGTGAGGGTCTCATCACAGTCAGCAGGAATTTGTAACTACAGTTCAACAGCAAGGAGAGTTAACTTTCCGCTAAATAACAAGATCCCATAACCTCACACGTGTATCCTAACATTGTGGGGTTTATTCACTAAACACTGGGTTTTAGTGAATTGCAATCTGCATTGCAAAATGGATTACTCTAACCATTATAATCACTACAGATACTGTGTGCCTGTGTGTCTTAGAAGCTCTGCTTTATACCCACCTGCTCCTTACGCCGTATCCTGTTGCTCTATAAAACTCTTAGTTGTAGTTGCTCAAACAGTTTCTTGTAGCCAGACCATTAACTTGTGGTCTATATAAGAACTGCCAAACTCAGGCTTCCAAAGCTAGAAACAAACCAGGTTTTCAGAAAAAGTATTTGGTACATTAGTAGATCCACTCAGTTAAAAAGGGCAATCTGAAAAACACCACAACAACTACAGATCATTGGTGCCAGTAGCCTATGACCGCAATCCTATTATTTGTTGCAAAACTGTTTTGTAGTAGTTTGGCAAAAATAATGACTACAGCAACCATAGTTTACTTTCTATCCAGCTGCTTTAATAATGCGGAATTTCCACTTTAAATATGCATTACCAATTTCAATTTTGTCCATTTTGGGAGGTAATGATAGGTTGAAAGCTAAGGGAGTGAGGTAGGCCACAGCTCTCAGCCTACAAAGTCTGGCTGGCATCACGGTAAATGAAGAAGGCTTTATAGCCGAAACGCGTATGCTGTTTGTACTTTTTCAATTGTGTTTTTTTTTTTATTATTTAGGGTTACTAAATGGTGCTTCTTTTGATGCATTATTTTATAGATATGCCAATTACCACCTATTCTATAGTACCCATTTGTTTTATTATTTGGTTTTTTTAACTATTTACTATTTGCACAAATAAATAATCTATTTTTGTGGAACTCCATACCATCGTGTACCTGACCTCTTCAATTGGATCCAGTAGCCATATTTGGCACCCCTGAGCCTCGAAGACAGAGCCTGGCATGGCTCTGGACCATAATCAAGAATTTTACATGCGTTTGTATACATTTGTTTTATTCTATTTTATAACACTTGGGTGTTTGACACCCAAGTATATATTTTATGTTTTGATTAGTGCAAAGCCAAACCATTAGGGCTACAAACCTTTAATATAGTTATATATTCACCTAACTCCTCCGTATTATAAAATTCTAATGATTCCTTTTGCTCCTCACGATCCTGTATTTTACTGTTTCATTTATTGCTCCCTACATTCATTTCAATGTGCCATGTACCATTTCTAACTAAATCGCCCCATGACTTTATATAGCCCACAATTGTAAATTATCCTCCTAATCTAAATAATTCTCCTCTGCCAACACTCCTATTGCTCCAGATAAATCTCTCTATACTTCCTATTGGGCCATATATGTCATGCATGATATTTACTGATGCCGTTTATTTGTTAGTAAGTATCTGATCTTAGATCCCATTAGAATCCGTTACAATCATCCTATTCCTCCATATAATCCCTCAATATTACCCTGTATGTTGTCCGCTATAGTAGCTCCCAATATATCCTTTTCAGAACCATCTTAAAAAAATGGGAATACTGGGTACATACCTTTAGCATACCCACGACAGTGCATTCCACAAAGGTGCAGCACTTGACATTCTTACAAACATTTTTTACAGACATAGCCCACGTTGATGTTGGTAACCCAGCTGAAAGCTGGCACATATTACGTTAACTAATAAACCATCTCAACACTGCTGAGTATTACGATGTGAAAGACAATCAGGACAACAAAAACATTTGATATATTCCTTTGCCTTTTATTAATCAACACATCTCAATGTATTATTTCACAAAATTCTCTTTAGCACAGTTCACACCAAAATCCATTGTGTTGTTCTATCAGATATCACCAACATGGCAGGACTTACCTTCAAGCACCACTTCCTTGCCCGTCTTCTTGAGAGCCTGTACGGCATCGTCGTGGGTAGCCTCTGAGAGGTCAACTCCATTCACAGACAGGATGGCATCACCCACATACAGAGCTCCGGTCAAATCTGCAGCCAAGCCCTTGAAAATCTTTGATATGAGGATCGGCATCTTGTTCTCTCTGCCCCCTATTAAACAGAATGGAGAAGATGACAATTAAACTCTGCTTCACAATATGTCACATACAAGAATGTTATTGTATACACTCTGTCAACGATGAGTGCATGAAACACAGGCTTCATAAGTAACAAAACAAAACACCTACATTGTGTAGGTGGCATGCCTACATTGTGCTAACCCTTGCCTCTCTTCCCCTGAATTGTGGTTGGGCACGAGTGAAATTGGTAACTAGGGTAATGCTAAAACAGACCCATTTACAAAATTGTCAGTAAACTGACAGCAGCTGCAATATAGCTCCTAACAGTTTACTTAGCAGATCCAATCACCAAACCTGAAAAGGGGAACGCCATCTGGTGAGCTGAACTACATATCCCATAAACCCATTCTCTACAGTGGATTGTTGATTACGGTCAGACTCCACGAACTAGAACGAGAGGTTCCTAACATGTAAAGCCTCTGACTTTTATTGTCAGTGTTTCAGTGTTAACTAAGACCTTCCATCAGGACCTATATATGTGTATATAACATACATGATCCAAAGCAATCACTCACTCACTTAACACCAACTTCAAAGCTCACAAAATTCAATAGTATTTTTAAAAACAGCTGACAGGCAAAAATAATGGGAATGTAGTTACGGGAAAAATGTTCACACGTCGCATAAGCCCGCCACAACGCCAATGTACCCCATTTTTAGCAGGTCCTATCCTTAGGAGATTAACTCACTAAATTGGGAAATCCTTCCTCCTGTGGTACTCTCCACAGAAGATGCTTCACCCCTTCTGATGACGCAAGACACTATTATTATTTATAAAGCGCCAACAAATTCCTCAGTGCTGTACAATAGGTGGACTAACAGACATGTATTTGCAACAAGATGAGTTGGATGGATAGGAACAGAGGGTGTTAAGTGCCTTGCTAAAATGAACTTACATTCTAGAGGGAGTGGAGTAAAGTGGCACAAGGGTAGGATGTATTTAATATACAGAAAAAGTAGGTTACTCGAATATTTTTTAGTAAAGGGTTAGTTTATTGGATGACGAAATTGCAGAAAAGGAAGCAGTATGAGTTGCCAAGGCGCGGGAAGGGAAAGCTATTAACAGTTTAACTGATATGTTTTCCTGAAAAGTGAGGTTTTATAATGATCTTTTGTAGGAATTAACACTGGGTGAGAGTCTAACAGAGCAGGGCAGGAGGTTCCATAGGAACTGCGCAGCCCTAGAGAAGTCTTGAAGGCATGCCTCAGAGGTGCAAGTATGAACAGAGGACAGACACTGATTTCGTCAGAGCGCAGTTGCCTGGATGGGACATAGTGGCATATTAGTGAGGACAGGTAGGAGCAGCGTTAAGTAGACATTTATAAGTATGCACCAGAATTTTAAATTGAGCCCTAAATCCTACAGAAAGCCATTGTAAGGACTGACAGAGATGGGAGGCATGGAAGGTGCGGGCAGACAGAAAGATTAGCCTTGCCACAGTATTCATTACAGAATGTAGCGGGGCCGGCTGGGAATGCGTAAGACCACTGAGGCACAGATGGCAGGAATCAAGGCAAGAGATGATAGCGACATGAACCAGCACCTTGGCCGAACCCAGTGTTAGATAGGAGCAAGTATGAGCTATGTTTTTGAGATAGCAGTGGCAGGATTTGGCGAGTGACTGGACATGATTGGTGAAAGAGAGGTCGGAGTCAAAGAGAAAACCTAGGCAGCGATCCTGTGAAGTAGGGCTAATGGTAGGGAGACAGACACAGAAGTAGCAACGCTTGAGGGAGGATAGATGAGTTCTGTTTTGGAGATATTAAGTTTAAGAAAATGAGCAGCCAGCAGTGCAAATCCAGCTTCTGACACCAGCATGCACAGCATGCTAGTGCCATAAAACCAATGACGGCACAGGCCCCCCCCCCCCATTGTGCCACCCATGTCCTCCCCTCTGCCTCTCCCTCTCCTCTCTGATTTTCTGCTCTCTTTAGCAAGCGAGAGTGATATTACTAGAGGAAGATCCTTCCTCCTGTGGTACTTGGCCTCGGCACTGGAAAGTATCGGCATTTATGTGGCGCCAACTTATTCGGCAGCGCTTTACAATTTAACAATGTCTCAATTACAAAATGTTACAGGAACAACAGGCTGATGAGGACCCTGCTCGAAAGAGGAGGTAAGGTGAGTTTTAGCAATTTTTATTTTTTTGGTGGGTGGTCCTGGCTAGGAAAGGTTTCTCCAACCAGAACCCGTATTTTCTTAAAACACTGCTTTTTGGTTGTAGTAACCCTTTAATAAGAAAGTGGAAAATTACAGCGGAACAAACGCATAGCAAAAGTACCAAAACAGCATCAGTCACAAATGCACCAAATCTTAAAAAAAGTTTCGGTCATTAAGGGGTTAAGTGTGCAAATACAAATCTTTGGAAATGTTTTAATATACTTTGGGGTTTAATTACTATGCAGTACTGTAAGATGACAGCTCTCTTGAAAAGATCTATTAAGGAAAAATGTACAAGCCCGCTGATGTCTTTTTTTTTTAATTTTCCATCTTGACTATTTTGACAAAATTTTGCAAGTTGTTTGTTGACTCACTGTCACTCAATGGTTAGGAAATAAAAAGGCTTCGGTCTCAGGAGGGACTGACCCATTTAGAAGGACAGCAACAGGTCCCAGCTAAATTTGACATACAAGCTTGTACTATTTTGGGATTACACATTCAATGACAAAATGCAGCTGAGCGCAGTATGGACAAATCTAACAATGGTATTTCTGGCATAAATTCTCTTTCTTAAAGAATTCCAAAGTAGAAATACGTACAGTCAAATTCAAAGACAGTGATGCAGCCATACCTAAGGTTAAAATGTGCTAAAATTCTTTGATACAATGCTGGTGTTTAATTTCTGAATGACCTTGGATGCTATAGTGCCTATTTTCTGTGGCGCATACTAATGATATAACATTAAATCAGAGGAATGTGAGGGGCTGTAAGCAGTTACCTCCAACCATAACAAAACGAATAAAAAAAAACAAGACAAAGATTAATAAAGTAGCAAATTAACTATATTCACCGTCTTTTGAGTGTGTAGGCCTCTAAGGCCTAAAAGGAGTTAAAAGGTCACTGTAACTGGGCCCCTGGAAACATGCAGCTCAACATTGTGCACACATTCAATTAAAGGGTTAACCGAACTTTACAAATTAGCTTTGAGTTTCAAAACAAACAAATTCAGAGAACAATATCCCAAATGCCCTATTTTCAGGGTGCCCTTAAATGTTGCATACTCCCTTGTGCTAGAGGGGGAGGAGGGGAAGACACTGAGAGGGAGGGTGTGTTTTGGAGACTTGAGAGACCAGTTTTAGATGCCCAAATGCCACACCTCCCAGGTTACCCAATATCACAGAGAGGGACATTCCCTGGCAATGGGAGAGTGAATCTATTTTCATGGCCCATAGTAGGCTCACTTTCACAGGGAAATTCAGTGTCCTATCTGTGGCCTGTGCTGCATGTCCTGTGCTTGAAGTATCTGTCACTTGTCACAGTAACTACCACCAACTGTGTCACTGTCTGTCCTAGCTCCACAGACTCTCCTTTTTGAGCCATTGTATCTGTAGTGATAATGATTTATACTTGCTGCTAGTCTAACTGTCCCTCTCAGACCACTGAGGCCCTGGCCTTGTCACCTACAGAGTTGCGGTATGAAAGTTGTCACAAAGACAGACGACAATGTCAATCAAAGAAAGCTCACTGAGTTTTTAGCTCACAATAAGCAAACAAACAAAAAAAGCACCAGATTCCACTAAGGGGCAAAAATCTCCCAAAACTCTTCCCAGTGGGATCAGTGCTGCCTGATAAGATAGCAACTTTGTGATTCTAACTGCAAAGTACACTTGTGTCATTGTACAGGAATGTTGTGTTACTGATTATAGATTCAATATGTTCAGCTATCCACGCTATACATATACGTATTTTGCGTGCAACTTTAGTTTGCCATCAAGTCCTCATGTAATTATATGTGTGTATTTATAAGTATAAGTAAGCATCTGTTTATCATGTGATTTTTTTTTTTATACACTGCCATTATGTTCCACGCACTATACACAGGACGAAATATGCACATCTGTGATACGTTGAAACAGGCAGATGGTGTAAGAAGTCCATCTCTCTGTCTAGAGTTTGCAATATGAAGCATCAGTGTATCTGTGTGTCAGAATATGAGAAGAATTTTTTTTTTTACATTTATATTTGTATCAGTCTGTGTTCTGCATAAATGTTTATATGTATAAATACATGTATAGAAAGTTTGTTTCGTCATGTATCAGTGGATGTGTTTGGTTGGGTTTATCAGTTGTATCAGCGTAGGTGTAAATGTGTCTCTCTTACATCATAGTGTCTGTGTGCACACCTGCATATGTGTCAAACATTGCGTGTACATTACAATATGTGTGTACATGGTAGTATATGCTTTAGTGGTTTGCGTTCAGTGGTACATGACGTGTGTTTTTATATTTCTCTATACATATATATATATATCAGTAATATAATCAATATATTATGATCCCAGTGTATTCCCGGTCACATTTAACATACATAACGCCTTTAGATTGCATATAACAAACACATTTTCTAAAAATATGCATGTCTTCCATAATTTATATAGACATAGCTAGCCTCATTCATGCAACATGGCCCTATGAAGAGAAATGTATAAAAGATTAAGTCTATTAACCTTTCACCTGTAACCTTTGCTTGTAAAATATTGTATAAATGTAAAGGTCTGGAAATAGTGAGGGGTCAGATAGCTATCACAATAGATATCTGCATATAGACACAGAGATTCATGAGTCCCATTGCGTTATCAAATATCACACAGCATGTAATGTATGTATAAAGTAATGAGTTGCAGGTAGTTATCAAATTTACAATTTATATATACTGTGTGTGTATGTGTATGTATAGGTATATAAGTGGGTGTGTATATATACACCACACACTGTATATATAGTTTGTGATATTTGATAACTACCTGTACCTGCAACACACCTACATGCAAACACACACGCACATGCACACTTACACACACACACACACACACACAACATAGGATAGTAATTAAGGATTTATCACAATGTCACACAGTATACACACACACATATATTAGCACTGAGTTACATAGATGTATTATCTTACAATCTCACACAGTATATACACACACAAACACCCACACTCACACACATATAGTAGTGCTGAGTTACATAGATGTATTATAATAACACACAGTATATAAACACACAGATGTAGTACTGAGTTACATAGATGTATAATAATACCACACAGTATATAAACACACACATATAGTAGTGCTGAGTTACATAGATGTATAATAATAACACACAGTATATAAACACACACATATAGTAGTGCTGAGTTACATAGATGTATTATAATAACACACAGTATATAAACACACACATATAGTAGTGCTGAGTTACATAGATGTATAATAATAACACACAGTATATAAACACACACATATAGTAGTGCAGAGTTACACAGTCTATATACAGTATAGGCACAGGGCAGTATTATTGACACCTTACCCTTGATGCTGACCCCCAGGCCCCCTGCCTCCTGTTTGACCACCCGGATTGTCCTCCTCTGGTTGATGATAGCCTCCGGGACGCTCCCCTCTGAGTCCCCGCCATTCACTGCTTTCTCCTCGGGTGCCCCTGGCTCCGGCTCCGGGGTGAAGCTGAGAGTTTCCTCCCCCAGCAGGACCAGCACTCTGAGCCAGCGTTCCCCGGACCCCCGCAGCTCCAGCAGCCCGCTCCGCTGAGCCCTGCCCGGGGCAGCCATGGTCAGTGTGCCCGGAGTGGGTCTGGGAGAGGGAGGAGGGCAGCAGGGAGACCTCCCCGGGCTGGGAGGGGGGAGACCAGCAAGCCCTCCCCGGTATGTGGCAGCACATGGCTGGGACCGCCCTGCTGCCCTCCCATGCCCATAGCCCAGTACTCCACACTCAGCATGGCATCAGAGCCCACACCCAGGCTGGCACAGTGTATCCATCCATGTAAATACCAGTCTGCAATCATCACACCCGTCACATGGCACTGCCAGTCTGTATGCCAAGTATTATTCTCATTCATTCACACCCATCACATGGGCACTGCCAGTCTGTATGCCAAGTATTATTCTCATTCATTCACACCAATCACATGGGCCCTGCCAGTATATATGCAAATTACTATTTTCATACATTCACACCCATCACATGGGCACTGCCAGTCTGTATGAAAGTTACTATTTTCATACAGTCACACCCATCACATGTCACTGCCAGTCTGTATGACAAGTATTATTCACATTAATTCACACCCGTCACATGGCACTGCCAGTCTGTATGCCAAGTATTATTCTCATTCATTCACACCCATCACATGGGCACTGCCAGTATGTATGCAAATTACTATTTTCATACATTCACACCCATCACATAGGCACTGCCTGTCTGTATGCAAATTACTATTTTCATACATTTACACCCATCACATGGCACTGCCAGTCTGTATGACAAGTATTATTCACATTAATTCACATCCATCACATGGGCACTGCCAGTCTGTATGACAAGTACTCAACTCATACATTAATACCCATTACATAGGCACTGCCAGTCTGTATGACAAGTACTGAACTCATACATTAATACCCATTACATGGGCACTGCCAGTCTGTATGCCTAGTACTATTCCCATTCATTCACACCCATCACATGGCACTTCCAGTCTATATGACAAGTATTATTCACATTAATTCACATCCATCACATGGGCACTGCCAGTCTGTATGACAAGTACTCAACTCATACATTAATACCCATTACATAGGCACTGCTAGTCTGTATGACAAGTACTCAACTCATACATTAATACCCATTACATGGGCACTGCCAGTCTGTATGCCTAGTACTATTCCCATTCATTCACACCCATCACATGGCACTGCCAGTCTGTATGCCAAGTACTATTCACATCCAACACACCATCACATGGGCACTGCCAGTCTGTATGCCAAGTACTTATCTCATTCATATACACCCCATCCTACATAATGGCATCTCCACCTGATGCCACCTTTTCCACTTACTGCCACCTTCTATGCCCATACTGCCATTAGTCATAGATGTAGTAATCCCTCCATCTCCATGGTTTTAATTAATTTCCTTATAAGAATACCAATTTAATGCTGACATTTACTAAAAAAAACTGATATTTACCCTACTGCACATATATTGTAGGTCAGCTTTGGCACACCTAGACTGTGTCTTGGTACATGTACATTTGGGGTTTTCAAAAATAACCATTGTTTTATTTATTTATTTATTTATTTAGCTTTATGCAACAGTTTTGGTGTATAGATCATGCCCCTGACGTCTCACTGCTCAATTTTCTGCCATTTAGAAGTTAAATCACTTTGTTTATGCAGCACTAGTCACACCTCACTGCATTTGACTTACACAGCCTTCCTAAACACTTCCTGTAAAGAATCATGTAATGTTTACACTTCCTTTATTGCAAATTCAGTTTAATTTAGAATTTCTTATCTCCTGCTCTGTTAATAGCTTGCTAGAACTTGTAGGAACCTCCTGTGTGTGTTCAAGGGGAAACTATAGCGCCAGGAAAACAAACTCGTTTTGCTGGCACTGTAGCTTCCTATAGTGCCCAGTTCCCCCCATACGGTGCAGAAAGGGTTAAAAAAAAACATCTCTCACTTACCTGGGTACATCAGCTCTGGAATAGTCGACTTGCATTTACCTTAGCATCACGAAAGTCTTTATTGACGCTTAGAGCATTTCATGACAACAGTCACACACAATACATCAGTTGACGGTCTCCAGCATACTGTTTTTATTTTTGTGTATTTAAAATTTATAAAATGTGCTGTGCCTTTAACATGATCCATTCCTATTTCTGTAACATTTTGGTGAATTTGCTGACGTCTTTTTTTGTCTGTACGTTTTTAAAGCACGACACATAATAAAAAATGGCAAAATAAAGTGCATTTTATGTTTTTCATGTATGATTTATTAACAAATACTATTGTTTTGTTTGCCCTAGCAACATGTGAGAAGAATGGAGTAAGCTCTTATGTCCTCTCTCTCTCTGTAACCAAGATGTATCTGTAAAACAAATTAACTTTGTCACTGCAGTGGTGAAGAGAGATTATCAGTGTGTGTTATACAAATCTACATCTACAGAATAACTTGCTACATATGGTGTTACAGATGCACATCAGGCCCTGGTCTGTTCTTTGGTAGCCAACCCCACATCAGCGTCCTGCTGAGGTGCTCCATAGTAACAGTCTCATGAATGAGTTTAGCCTTTGAAAACAATGCTTATAACGAAGCCTTGACATAAACATTTACTGTGGCAATCAGCTATATGTTTCTTTGTCTTATGAAATGGGCACATGGTGAGAAGTTGCATCAAGTGGCCATCAGGCAATGCAGGCATCAATGTTCCTTTTTTAATAACTTGCTTCATGGGTTGCCAAGAAGCAGTATCATTCTCTAGTAAAACTCGTGTGGGATTTTTAAATGATTTTAAATGGACTCTCGCTCATTAGAATAGTATTTTTGTCTTAAAGGACCACTCTAGGCACCCAGACCACTTCAGCTTAATGAAGTGGTCTGGGTGCCTGGTCCAGCTAGGGTTAACCCATTTTTTTATAAACATAGCATAAAATATGTTTATGAATGGGTTAAGCCTTCCCCCAAAGCCTCTAGCGGCTGTCTCATTGACAGCCGCTAGAGGCGCTTGCGTGATTCTCACTGTGAAAATCACAGTGAGAGCACGCAAGAGTCCATAGGAAAGCATTGTAAATGCTTTCCTATGCGACCGGCTGAATGCGCGCGCAGCTCTTGCCGCGCGTGCGCATTCAGCCGACGGGGAGGAGAGGAGGAGGATCGGAGAAGGAGAGCTCTCCGCCCAGCGCTGGAAAAAGGTAAGTTTTAACCCCTTTCCCCTTTTCAGAGCTGGGCGGGAGTGGGTCCCTGAGGGTGGGGGCACCCTCAGGGCACTATAGTGCCAGGAAAACGAGTATGTTTTCCTGGCACTATAGTGGTCCTTTAATTGAAGTCTCATTTGTGGTGGGAAAATTCATTCTATATGAGCAACTAAAAAGTAATTGTATACTAGTTTTGTGAATTTCATAGTACCCTGATAGAATTTTGTCAGTTCAGCTTTTTTGAACTGACAATTGTACAGTGCTACGGAACTTGTTGGCGCTATATAAATAATAATAATAACCGCAACAGCAATCATAGTGCAGCATAATAATTCTGATACCATACTTCAATGAAACAATTCTCCTCTATCATTTAAAATAGTCCTGTGTGGTAATTGCAAACTTTTACAAACCATTGTTTTAGAACTTTCACACACTCGTGAGTTGGTAAAAGATAATTTTTTTGTTTTTGTTTGTGTAATGTTTTGTTATTCCAGCAATCATTCACCAGGAGAACTTTATCTTGGTTGAGAAATGAAAACATCTACTTAATCAGCAATTTTAAAAGTAACCTCGTAAAACGTGATGTTCGATCAGTTGGTTTTATTGTAAAATCTCCACTCTAGCGGTTTATTATTTCATAATGTGTATTTTAAAGTTATTTCACGGTTGTTTTTTCACAGCAATCTCACTAGATCAGAATTTAAGATTTGTAGGATTATTTACGAAATTACTAAACAGGGAAATATGGAGAAATCTGACCAGAGACTTTCAATTTTTTTTATTTTTTTTACACTAAAGTAAGATAGTGTGGACTATGATTCCAATAATTTTAATCCAGGTGATCCTAACAAAACTATAATGACTTGGCATTCTTAACATGGCACATTAACATTCAGGGTTATTTACTACAGTGAATTCAAAGTGAATTTTGAATTTAAGGCCAGAGTAGTCAAACTGACAGCATAGCTGACTTAGATCATTTTGTCAGTTCAGCTATTTTGACCTTAAATTTGAATTTCACTTTGACTTCTCACTTAATTTGAGTTTTAAGTTTATCACGCTCATTCCCTATTTTTTGTAACAAGAGACAATACAACATAAATTGTATCTGTATAATAATGCAAATGCAGAGCCTTTTGCTTGAGTTGAAATAAAGCTGCTTTTTTGCCCATGATTTTACTTAATTGACAATCCGCTCCCCCACAGAAAAGGAATGTTTAGTGGGAATGAATTAGCTCACACAGCAAGATTTTTTTTTTTATAAATCACTAAACATTACCCAGCTCTAACTGTGAAAACAGGACATGGAATTCCTCAATCACGAACAATATATCCCACAAACAGAGAATGCCTACAGTAAATCAGAAACGAAACAGCCAGCAACTTCTTGTCTCCTCAGAGACCTGCTGTGTTTCTATTCAATTTAAAATGTCATCGTTTTAAAAGGACATCCTTATTACGGCCCAGCTATGATGGTACTGCATACAAATGGCACAGCACTTTTACAAAGGTGTTCATTGGCAGCTCTAGACCCTGTAAGGCACTAGGCAAAACTTGGACACGAGGCCCCCATTGACACTCATAGTAAAAAAAAAAAAAAAAATGGGGTTGCATTTTGTGAGTATAAGGAGCTGTAGTGTGTTTTTATAAATAGGGGCTGTCAGGGTTGGTGCTGGGGGAGTACAGAACACCCATGTGCTTTGTAGATAGGGGTGCTTGGTGTGAGGCTTTGTGCCGTCAGGTAGATCCCACCACCTCTCGCTAGGCCCCGTCTCTCATGAGTTGCACCTGCCATCGCATTGGCAGGGCCTAATAAGACAGGGTGAGATGGGTGAGTGTGTTCAGAGAGAGGGAGAGTTAGTGTGACAGGATTAGGGGGTGAATGTTACAGGATTACGGTGGTTAATGTGACAGGGTGAGTGTGACAAGCTGAGGTTGGGGTGTGAGTGTGACAGAATGAGGAAGGGTGAGTGTGACCGGATTAGCGGGTAAATGTAACAGTGTAACTATGGCATTTTGGGGGTGGTGAGTGTGGCATGCTTGCAGAAGGGAGTGTGGCATGGTTGGAGGAGGGAGTGTGGCATGCTTGCAGGAGGGAGTGTGGCATGGTTGGAGGAGGGAGTGTGGCATGCTTGCAGGAGGGAGTGTGGCATGGTTGGAGGAGGGAGTGCGGCATGGTTGGAGGAGGGAGTGTGGCATGCTTGCAGGAGGGAATGTGGCATGGTTGGAGGAGGAAGTGCGGCATGCTAGCAGGAGGGAGTGTGGCATGGTTGGAGGAGGGAATGCGGCATGCTAGCAGGAGGGAGTGTGGCATGGTTGGAGGAAGGAGTGTGGCATGGTTGGAGGATGATTGTGATAGGATTAGGAGGGGTTGATGTGAGTGTGGTAGGGTGAAGGGAGTGAGTGTGATGCTATGTATGGAGGCTGAGAGTGTAGGGGTGGGGCTGTCAATGCGTCAAGACTGTCTTTCTGTGTCAAGCCTCACCACTATAGTACCATTTTTATGCATTTGGGCAATGATCAATTCCCTGGCGCTCCGGTTGCCTAGCTATCCAGCCTCAGTTACGCCATGTGCCGAGTTGTGGTCGATGAAGTAGTTGCCTCGCAAGCTCTGGTACTTGAAGTGTCAGTGTGTTGCCATGGTAACCTGCAGCAACGCTATGATTGAGAGACCCCTACTTTGAAGTCTGTACCTTGCATATAGCAGAGCTGCAGGGCTTTTTTCTCTCTCTTTCTCCACACAGGACGAGCCACTGGGCCCCTCCTGGTGTCAGGCCCTTGGTAACGGAATGAGGGCCAGATGGATCTGTCTGCCGCAAGGCAACTTTGGTGGCTGAGAGGTCCCAGTGAGTGTGAGGCCTTAGGCGACCGCCTTACTTGCCTAATTAGAGAGCCACCTTTGAAGGTTTTCATAATGTTGTCCTTTATTACAATGTGCAGTACAGCAGTGTACTCCACACTGTAACCTATCTCTAATCCTCATGGATATAGGGACTGTAACATCTACTGGAGATGCTGTGGAGTGGAACATTTGTTAGTTGTGATGATCACTGCAGCTATACCTCCAAGTCCAACATGTCCTTATTTAGTAGTGGCAACCCCTATTCTAGGCCCAATTCCTCTGTCCCACTTTTTTATCCCAATGTCCCTATTCTCTAGGAGCTCCATACTGCCTGTGTGTCTGTGTGTAACAGAGCGCCACAGCAATAATACTCACAGTAATGTGCCTGTAAACTACAGTAAATATGTTTAAAAATCAGTCTCTGTAAATAGGATAATTTGGTCTTGTTCTAAATTACATTTAGTTGCATAAATTGACACAGCAGAAGAGCCTGGCCACACTACCAACTACACAAACTGAAATTAATGAGGCAGTATAGTCACCAGAACAACAGCTTAATGTAGTTGTTCTGGTGACTATAGTGTTCCTTTAATTTTAAGTGTGTAGCTATGGTGCCTATAGCCTGTCCCTGCATGCAATTTACTGTAAACACTGCCTTTCCAGAGAAACAACAGTGTTTACATTACTGCCTTGTAGCACCTCTAGTGGCAGTCACTCAGTATTGCACAGTGACTGATTCAATGCATCTCTATGCATGAGATCCTGATTGGCGCAGAACTGCCTTTTGCCCCGCATATGCCTTGCCACCCTCCTCCATACTTTCTTATGGAAAAGCATTGGATTGGCTAAGAGCATCAAACTTGATGATCTCAGCCAAGAAGGCGAAGTGTGGGCAGGGCTAACTTCATCAAGGCAGGAGCTGCATGGGAAAAAGGTAAGAAAAAAAGTTAATTTATCAACTATAGTGTCAGGAATACACATTTGTATTCCTGAAACTATAGTGTTCCTTTAAAGTATCCCTTTTTGTCCATTTGAAATGTTGGAAGGGAGGCTCTAGGCA